AGCTACACTTTTTTTTTTTTTTTTTGGTACCAGGGATCGAACTCAGGACCTTGCACTTTCGTGGCAGGCGCCGTAACCACTGAGCTAAATCCCCAGCACTCAGTGGATTTAACTATGCAATCAAAAGATACAGACTGGCAGATTGGATCAAAAACAAAAATCCTGCTGAGCATGGTGGTGCACACCTGTAAACCCAGCACTCAGGAGGCTGAGGCAGGAGGATCCTCTCGAGTTTGAGGACAACCTGGGCTACATAGTGAGTTCCAGACCAGCCTGAACTACATAGCAAGACACTGTTTCCAGCAGGTGACACACCTTATACAAAAAAAAAAAAAAAAGCTCACAGACTAATGGTGAAAGGATAGAAAATGATACCCCATGAAACCAGAGTCTAAAAGCAATCAGGAATAACTTATTCTCAGACTTATCAGACTTCAAGCTAAAACTGATCAGCAGAGATAAAAATGGCCACTACATACAGAAAAGGGAACGATTCAACAGGAAGAGATAACAACTGTAAATATCTATGGATGGAATGCTGGTGGACCCAGCTTTATAAAACAAAACCAGCCGGGGATTTAGCTCAGTGGTTCCAGCGCCTGCCTCGCAAGCGCAAGGTCCAGAGTTCGATCCCCAGTACCAAAAAAAAAAAAAACAACAACAACAACAAAAACCACTGTACATAAAAGGATAGAAAGACACCAATACAATCATAGTGGGGGACTTCAACACTCTACTCTCAAGCTTACATCAACCAAATAAAAACTTAGCAAAGAAATATCAGAGTTAAACCATAATTGCACAAATGGACTTAAGAGACATCTACAGAGTGTTTCGTACAACAACAACAATAGAATACAAATTTTTCTCAGCAGCACACAGAATTTTTTTCCAAAACAAACCATATTTTAAAAGCATGCTTAAAGAAATAAAGAAATAACCCCTGGATACTATCAAATCATAGTGGAATGAAGCAAGAAATCATAGCAAAATAAACCACAGAAATTACACAAACACATGGATATTAAACACTACATCATCAAATAACCAATGGATCACAGAAAAACAAGGAAGAAATAAAAAAGTTCCTAGAATCAAATGACAATGGAAACACATTCCGCCAAAACCTATTGTACACAAGAAAAGCAGTTCTAAGACAGAAGGTTATAGCTGTGAATGCACTCATTTAAAGAACTGAGCAACCCCAAATGACCTAGTAATACATTTCAAGGACCCAGAAAAACAAGAGCAATCCAAATTAATAGAAAGAAAGATATCACAAAGGTCAGAGTGGATATTAATGAAATTGAGACTAAAAAACCATGAAGGATCAATGAACCAAAGAGCTACTTCTTAGAAAGAATAAACAAGATTAATAAACCCTTAGCCAAATATACCAAAAGAAAGAAAAAGCCTATATAATGTAATTAGCAATGAAAAAGGCAAAATCACAACTGACACTGCTAAAATCCAGAGGATTATAAGAAACCATTTTGAAAATGTGTATTTTAATAAATTGGAGAACTCAGAAGAAATGCAGAAATTCCTAGGCACAGGACCGGGGATTTAGCTCAGTGGCACTGCACCTGTCTTGCAAGTGCAAGGTCCTGAGTTCCATTCCCAGTACAGCAAAAAAAAAAAATCCTAGGCACATATGAATTACCAAAATTGAACCTAAAAGATATAAAAACTGACTAGACCAGTAACAGGCAATGAAATAAAGGCAGTAATAAAAGCTCTACCACCAGGGGCCGGGGATTTAGCTCAGTGGTTATGCCGCCTACCTTGCAAGCCAAAGGTTGAGTTCGAATCCCGGTACCAAAAAAAAAAACTCTACCACCAAAGAAAATCGATAGATTCACCACTGAATTCTACCAGAAAGAAAAGGAGTACTACCAAACTCATTCCTGGAAGCTAGCATAACCATAATACCAAAATCAGACAAAACTTAACAACAACAACAACAACAAAAATACAGGACAATCTCTTTAGTGAACACAGATGCAAAAGTCTTCAACAAGGCACAGGCAAACAATGTATCAAATCACTAAAAAAAACATATATCCCAACCAAGTTGGCTTCAGCCCAAAGACACAAGCATGGTTCAACATATGTAAATCAATAAACATCACATAAAGAAAAGACAAAAATCATGTGATCATCTCAATAGATGCAGAAAAAGCCTTTGACAAAATCCAACATCCATTCATGATTAAAAAAAAAAAACCTGAAAAAATAGGTATAGAAGGATCTTATCTCAAATTGGTAAACCCACTGCCAACATCATACTAAATAGGGAAAAATCCCGAACAAAGGTGTCCACGCCCACCACTCCCATTCAATGTAGTACTTGAAACTTTAGCCAGAGCAATCAGGCAAGAGAAAGATATAAAAGGGATACAAAAGGGCCAGGGATTTAGCTCAGTGGTTCCGCCGCCTGCCTCACAAGTGCAAGGACCCAAATTCGATTCCCGATACCAAAAAAAAAAAAAAAAAGGGATACACAGAGGAAATAAAGAAGTTAAACTATCCTTATTCACAGATGACATAATCCTTTACAAAGACCAAACAAAACCAAAACCAAAACCAAAAAGGGGCTTGGGATTTAGCTCAGTGGTTCCGCTGCCTGCCTCGAAAGCGCAAGGATCCGAGTTCGATCCCTGGTACCAAAAAAAAAAAAATCCACCAAAAGACTCCTAGAACCAATAAATTCAGCAGAGTAACAGGATATAAAATTACACACACACACACACACACACGGGAACCTATAGACTTCATCCATTCTATTCCCTGAGGAAATCATACACAGTAGAAAATGATAAAGGTCATGGGAAAGATACAATGCTACAGGGGTCAAGGGAGGGGAGAGAAAACTGATTGTGTATATCAGGAAGGTCTCCATAACCACTGGGGGATTTGACCTGGAACTTAGCACATAGTGCAACAATGCACTTGTCTTTTGCTTACATCAGAATTATTAACTTCCTTTCTAGTCACAGTCTGTTTGTCTCAAGTTCTACCACTCAACTTGAATTCTTATCCATTTGGCCTTGATTTCTCTTTCCAGTTCCCTTCATTTGCTTTGGTGCCCTGGCTCTGAAGGACATGGTTACCCATTTGCACTTGGTCTAATTCCTATCCAGCACTATCTTGACTAGGAAAAACCCAAATCTTAGTTTGTGGGATTACCTGGCTTCCCTGGAGATCTTTTGGGTATACAGAGATCAAAAGTCACAAACATAAATGACTTCAGATTTCAAAAACCTAACAAATGTGTGAAGTGCCTGGCTGTTACTTAACTCTGGAGACTGAACCCAAGGCCTTGAAGATGCTACTAAATTCCTTTTGTTTTTTTTTTTTGGTACCGGGAATCGAACTCGGGTCCTTGGGCTTGCTCAGCAGGCGGCAAAACCACTGAGCTAAATCCCCTGCCCGTGCTGGTAAATTCTTAAAAACAGAAGCAAACATAAATACCTATATATGAGCTACTGTATTTGCTGCCCTTGTTAAAGTTTTCGAATCCTGGTTAGACAAAGGCCTCTGATGTATCCTGACAGGTTCAGGAAAACTCGTCTTTACTAACTGCATGGGGCCCAGGAGTTACAAGGCAACTTGCCCACCGCCCACTGCTGGGGTTCAGAAGCTCACGGACCTGTTTCATTAACTGTCGGGACATTCTGTGGATGGCAGAGTGCTGAAAGTGCCGCTGACAGAAACCTCACAAAGGAGGGGCTGACACGAGCTACAACCTGACTTCTTCCTCACGACGGCAAGTGGCAGTTCCTCTGAGCCTCAGGATTCTCTCTTTTCTGCAGGGCAACTCTTAGGCTTCCTGGCCTCACTGCCATGAAGGAGGAAAAGACATCCGGCTCCCACCTTCCTCTTGGACTCCATCGCCGACCGCACAACAAACCCGGCTGCTCAGAGAGCCGCTAAGCCGCTCGGGTTCACTCACTCACCCGCTTCCCTTCCTTTCCGATCCTGCCGGAGTCCTGCCTCCTCTCTAAACCGTGCCCAGCCATGGGCTGGGAGAGCTAGCCCTGCAGCGCCGGCGAACTGTCCGTGGCACCTGTTCGGTCCTTGGTCATGCCAGGTTTAGACGCGAAAGTAAACAGACGGGCAGTGCTAGACAGGGACCTCCTCCCTGGCAGCGGCGTGCGTTCGCGAAACGAATGAATGAGCGCTGATTCGCGACGCTGCCTTCGGGAGGAGAGCGCGCCCTCACGCAGCCCACCCCGCGCAGGTCCGCACCGCTCCAGCTCCGGGACCACGCCCCCTCTCACGACCCCTGCTCCCCCGAGTAGAGCCCAATGTAACCCACAACCCGGAAGGTGGGCGGAGAGAACCTAAGCAGATCCGGCCTTCCATAGGCCAAGAAGACCTAAGAGGCGGGCTCTTCTCCTACAAGCGGGCTGCGTACGGTGGAGCCTCTGCACTAAGGGCGGGGATTGGCCTTGCCGCGCAGGCGCCTTACGCGTGAAAGGGGCGGGGCAAAGGGCTTGGCCGGCGCCCGGTCCCGCCCCAAACGTTCGGGGCTTCGTGGGGAGGGTCCCGGTCGCCGCCTGGGATCACCTAGCTCGGGGCGTTGTATGGGGCTGTTGGGGCGGAGCGGGACGTGCGAAGATTCGAGGTACTGTCGGTAGGACGTGGTGGGCGCGCGTGTCGAGGTGTCCGGCGCTGGGCCCCTGGGGAGTCTTCGCGCGCGCGGCCCGGCCCTTTCCACCCCGCGCTCTCTCCTGGTTGTGTGCAAGGCCCGGGGCGTACGGGCCGGGGGGCGCACAAAGGCTTCATGGGGGCGGGGGCGCCTGGTGCCCGGCCTTCATCTTGTAGGCGGGACCGGGCCGCGGGCGGCGGGCTGGAGGAAACCCGGTGCTGCGGGTCCTGAGGCGCGCGTGTCGGCCCCGGCTGGCCGCTGTGGAGCGGGTTCCCACACTGCCTCCCCGGGGCGGGACTATTCTCCTCCTCCCGGGTCGGGGCGAGCGCAGCCCAGGCTCATTCCCTCTGGGAGAATCCCACACCTAACGGTGTCATCCTGTCGCTGTGAGCACGGCGGAGGGGAAAACAACATGTCTCACTTTTTAATTTTTTTCGCCTTTGTAACTGACATCATTAGAATGGTTTTCAGCAGCCCAGGGGCGCATGCCCAAAACCTGTTTCCAGGCCCTTTAGAATTATTAGGCTAGGTTCAGTGTATTGTTTTGTTTTGTTTTGTTTTATTAAATTCTTTTATTGGTACATTGTAGGTATACAACACAATTATATTTCTCATTGGGAATTGTACCTTTACATAATGCATCTTGGTTCTTATTTTTTCCCCCTTCCTAGCCCTCCCTTCACCCCCTCCACCCTTCCCTATTTACAAAGACTTTATTTCCATTTTTTCCATTTCTCATCATTTTTCCTTTCCCTTCTTTCCTTTCCCCTGCCCCTCCCACTACCCCTACCCCTTTGGACCTTTTCTTCCTATTTTACATTTTCGATTATTCATTCTAATCATTGGTACATTTTAGGTATACAATATAATGACATTCATCATTGGAAATTTGCACCTTTACATAGTCTCTCTTGGTTCTTATTTTTCACCCTTGCCTAGCCCTCCCTTCAACCCCTCCATTCCTCCCTATTTACAAAGATTGTGTTCCTATTTTTCCATTTTCTCATATTAATCCCATTCCCTTCTATCCTTTCCTCTAGTGCATTGTTTGTAATAAGAACTAACGGAAACCTGCCGGTGCCAGGGTAGATCGGACCTCACTGGGAATTCCTGGCACGGGGGCACAGAGGATGGTAGCACTGTATATAGTGCACAGTGCCCCAGCAGTGCCCTGATCTAGGTGTGAAGGATGTTAAAGAGCGGGACTAGGCTGTTGGGTCAGTTTGCCTTGGGCAGGCTTAAAAGAAATACAAGTCATCATTTCTCACGTTGTTCCCTCAGTGCCTTTTCCCACTATCTTACGTACAGTAAATTCTGGACCACTGAGTACAGAAAAGAGCAGGGAACTTGGTTTCACCTCTTCTTAAAGGTTTTGAAAGCTCTCCTCCCACCCAACACGGGTAATCGGGTCCTCCTTTGGGATCCCTCCTGTGGCCTCTCATTACACATCACATAATATTGTGGTTTCCCCATCCCTAGCATAATCACAGTGATGAAAGCCAAAAAAAAAAAAAAAAAAAAAAACAAAGAACAGAAAGAACCCAAGCTTTTTAGTCAGAAGTTGACAAAACAGGGATGTTTACTCTTTTAACTGGGTCCAATAATTCTTACAGGTTAGGGAGGCAGTTGAGCTCAGACTAAGTCAAATGAGACTTCAGCTTGCCATGTTATTAACTCGTTTTTCTTGGGGGTTTTTTGTTGTTGTTGTTGTTATTGTTTTTGGTAGTGAGGATCGAGCTCAGGACCTTGCACTTTGAAGGCAGGTGGCAGCACCACTGAGCTAAATCCCCAGCCCTAACTCTTGGTAGGTTACTCTGTACCTCAGTTTCCTTACCTGTAAAATGGGCTTAGTAATGGTATCTACTCTGCAAGTTGTGAGGAGTAAATAAAATACTGATATAAAATGCTTATAAAGTTCCTGGCACAAAGAACATGCTGGGTAACTTAGTTTTTTAAACAGGTACTCGAACAAACTCACCAGTACTAATACCAGCACAGTACTTGACCCTTCAAGGTCTTGCTTTCAGAATTTTCTGATTCTTCATTTTTGGAAAATCCCTTAAGCTTTCCTGATTCTCTTCCCACAGCTAAGGTGTTCATAGATTATCTGTTTATGTTTCTAGAGTTAACACCTGCTAGAAATAAATTAGATGTCAAATAATGCCTTGGCCAGGTATTACAGTCAGTTGATATACTTTTAATGTGGTCTGTTACTCACAATGGTCATGTAACAGCAGAGAAGTGAAATACATAGATGGAGGCTGATGTGACGTGACTCAGAAAATCTTTAAAGAGAGGCAAGCTTGTGGAAGTGATCTTTGGCTTCTCTGTAAATCAATCTGTTCTCATGGAGAAATGGTCTCCTACCTTTAAAGTTGCTCACAGACATTATGAAAAGTCGTCTTCCTATTGGCTTTAGACTTATTTGGCAGACCTACAGGTGTCAGATACAACCCCTGGGGGATACTGCTTCACTTCCTGGTTTTCCTGTGCCACTCCTCACAGGAAACGGGCTGAAATGTGTATTTCCTTTCAGCTGTATCCTCCTTTGGGATGTTTCTCTTTTTAAAAAAAATTTTTTTTGTTGTTTTTGGTTTTGTTTTCTGTTTGTTTTCTCTTGTTTTTTGACCCAGGGTCTCACTATGTATGTCAGGCTGGCCTTGAACTCACCATGTTGCCCAGGCTGGCCTCAAACTTGTGATGATCTTCCTGCCTCAGCTTCCCAAGTGCAGAGGCTACAGGCATGCGCAGCCACTCCCAGCTTCTTTAAATTATTTGGCGTCTCCAAAACAAAGTCCTTTCTCCTCCACACTTGTAACTCAAGAAAAATTCAAGTATGTGATCTATTTTTAGTATAGTCACAGAGATCTTGAATCCTTTCTAGAGAGTACTGTTTTTTCTGGGGATTCCCTTTTAGCTGCGACATCTACAAATAACCGTTAAAAACCTGCCACATGCCAGGAATTTAGCTCAGTGGTTCCACCGCCTGCCTCACAAGTGCAAGGTCCCAAGTTCGATCCCTGGTACCAAAAAAAAACACCTGCCACAGATGTGAGCTTTTTCAAATGTGCTGTTGCAGAGACCTGAAGACAAGAACATGAATTTTCTTCTGTATGCCAGGCATAAGATATGTGCTCAGTGAATGGTCATAAAGCCATGGTAGTTGTTCCTTAATAGAATGCTGAAAGAGGGCCAGGGATTTAGCTCAGTGGTGCTGCTGCCTGCCTCACAAGCAAAAGGTCCCGAATTGGATACCCGGTACCAACAACAACAACAACAAAATTAGAATACTGAAACAATCCTGACTTACCAGCCTGGCATTTCTGAAGCATCAGCGTGCTTCACAAGTCATCTAGAGATACTGCTAAAATGTAGATTCTGATTCCAAGGCCCTGGGCAGGTCCTAAAAACTCTACATTGCCAACCAGCTTTGCAGTGACCTGGACGCTGCTGGTCCTGGATCACACATTTCACACACTTGTGAGTTGTAAAATGCTAACCTAAGTTTCTGTATTTCTTTTTGTTTGTTTGTGTAAAGAATTTTTTTTTTGAGAACTGTTTTCTAGTTGATCATTCCTTTGAATTAATTGAGGGTGAACCCATCACCCTTCCCCACAATTCCCAGTCCTCCATGCTGAACGGAGTGGGAGGAGGCCCCAGCAGCTGTGTATGGTAGGACTACCCCCATATCCAGGGAGATATGCCAGATACCAGGAAGGGTTGGATGTCCAGGCTTGAGGAGTTAGTGTTACCACATGCATGATGCTGGACATATTTTTCAATGTAGGGCAAGAGTAAGCCAAGCCTACATCACTCCTAATTTTATCTGGTGAGCATAGTGCCTTTGCCAGTCTTGGAAACTAATGAAGGATTTTTTTTTTTTCTTTTCGTGGTGCTGAGGATGGAATCCAGGGCCTCATGCATGCTAGGAAAGCACTCTGCTACTGAACTACCTCCCAGCCCTGCTAATAGAGGATGGTGAATTCCATTTGGTCTTTAGAAGATTCTGAAACTTACGTGTCCTGTCTCCTTGTCTGGACAAGGACAGGGCAGTAGTGATATGTACAGACCTTTTTCAGAGGAGAGAATGAAATTTGTTCATTTTCTGTGCTCTGATTCCAACTCCCTGGTACTTCCTTGTAGCAAAGAAGATCACCTGAGGCCTCTATTCATCATGGAACTGCTCGAATCCTGGAACACTGACAAAGGTGTGGCCTGAGAAGGCAGAGGGCCCACATTCATAGGTGGCTTAGAGCTAATGACTGGGACACAGTGCTGATCAGTGTAGCAACTAATGCATTTCGGTGTGAACAGTCTTTTGGCTGTTTTGACAGGGGCATGCTCTCATGGGAAGGGTCCCAGCAGAATCCCCACCCCTGCTGTCACAGGGGTAGAGGAATGGGCTAGCATCTGTAGCGGTTAGGACCAGAATTTGATGCAGTGGTACAACATGCGCCCCAACACCACCAAATGCTGACAGGATTGAGCCTAGGAACCCAAAATGTGCATTCATCATAGCACTGGGTTTCTTCAGCACAACTTAAGTTTTAAGTCTGTGCAAGTTACTACTTTAGGGACTTAAAAGTACTGTACCATTTCCACAAAAACTGCCAAATTTCAGATGTCTTTGACTGGTTGCTGAGGGGCCCCTGGCCAGTTAGCTTAGTGTAGGTTTGTGTTATTGTGAGTTACTTAGGAATATTTCCTGGACAGTTAATAGCCACGGTAGTTCTACACACTCTCCTCCCCAGGATACATTAATACCTTTTTTTTGGATAACAAGGTCCAGAAGAGACAAATAAAAAAATGCATTGTCAGAAGAGGGCCGGGGATTTAGCTCAGTGGTTTCACTGCCTGCTGCGCAAGCCCACGGACCAGAGTTCAATCCCCAGTACCAAAAAAAAAAAGAAAGTGTTTGCATACAGGAGGCTGAGGCAAGAAGATCACTGAGACTTTGAAGCCAGCCTGAGCTACATAGTGAGTTTAAGGTCAGCTTGAACTACATTGTGAGACCCTGTTTCAAACCTCTCCCCCTCAAAAGAAAAAAAAAAAGTGTTTGCGCCTCTCTTGCCCCAGTTACATCTTATTTCAGCATCCTGTCTCAAGACCCCAGCTGTGAGGATGTAAAGGAGCTCTGGCCATTGAGTTTTTAGAAATGGAGCAAGAGGTAGCAATAGGGAGTTGTAGGCTAGATTCCATTCACCTTAATTTCTCCAGCACATGGCTCACTTATTCCCATATTTGGGGGAACACAATTTGCCCATAAGTCTTCATGTGTGGTTTCTTGAAACGCAACAAGGTGAGGATGTGGCTTCATGAAAATCTATTTTGGTCACTCTTCTGTTTGTCCCTCCACTCGCTAGTCTTCTTCCTCATCTGCTTTGTGAGCTTTTCTCTTTTGTCGCTTGTTCCATGGTTGGTTCATAAAGGGCTTGGATTCTAAAGTCACATGGGCTGGACTCCTGACCTGGGGTTTCCCTGTGTGGGAACGGGATACCAGCGCATGCTGGTGGGAACGCAGACCAGTACCACCTAGAGGCCACTAGCAGCATGTGTCACAAAGCATGCATGCAGGTCCCGTTCACCTCAATGGTTCTGCTTCTAGCTCATGGTACTGTGGATGTGCCGGCATACATGCAAATGATGTGTTATCACAGCACTGTTTGTACTAGTGAAAGATAGGAAATAACCTGAACGCAAGTATGTATTGATAAAAGGACTGGTAAACTAGAATGCATCCATACATCACTGTACACTGAGAAGAAAGCAAATGCTTTCTGTGTGTTGCTAAGTAACGATTTCCAAGATACTTTGTTTAAAAAGAACAGGTAAGAGCCAGGTGTGGTGATGCATGCCTGTAATCCCAACATTTGGGAGGCTGTGGCAGGATTGCTGTCAGTTCAAGGCCACCCTGGGCTACATAATGACTTGAAGGCCAGTCTGAACTACATAGCAAGATCCTGTCTCAGAAAAGAGGATGGGGTGGGAGAGAAGATCTTAGAAGTGTCCTGTAGTACTTGTTACCATTGGGTGAAAAGGGGAGGGAGAAGGATGAAAATTAGTATTTGTGTTTGCATGTACATCTTGAGACTTAATTTGTACCCCGAAACAAACTTGCCTATATTTGTAGGGACATGTAGTATAACTTTTGTGTTTGATTTATATGAATGGTTGGCTGCTGTTTCTCCAGTTTGGCTCCTTTGTTCCTTCCTTGTAAAGTGACCTGTTCACAAGAATTCTGTCAGAGCCCCGGTGTCACTAATGACAGTGGTTGACAGTACATATGTCATGGCACTGTTGTAAATGCTCTGCATACCCTGGATCATTTTAGTGCAGGAATGGGAGCAAGAGCAGAGGCAGACGTAAACCTCTTAACATTATATTTTATATTTGAGCCATATATTGCCAGTCAAAAATTATTTTTCTGCCTAGCTCCTTCTCTATCTGGTGGTTGTGAGAATTGAATGAAAGTACATGGAAAGTGCATGCTCTTCTCTCTGGTCACCTCTGAAGTGGGCTGGAGTCTCATGTGTCCAGGCAGCACATAGGACTCTTTTCCAGCACATAGCAGTGTCGGGTCTTGGGGTATGTGCAGTGCCCACCCAGGATGCATTTCCTGGCACATAAGCCAGGCAGAGTGAGCCCCCTGTCAGGCTCCCCTGCTGCCACCAGCACCTCCTCTCTCATACTTCACCTCCATCTCTAAGGAAACAAGACTATTTCTGTCCCAGGGTTGAGCTTTGAGGTTGGCCCAAGTGCATTGCAGGTGGCTGCTGATATCCTAAGCTCACAGTTCCCTCACCTCCCCTTCTAAGCCCTCCTGGAGTTGGTCTTCCTCCTCTCGATTTTCAGTTCAGCCCCCTCCCATCATGCCCAGCAGGAGCCCTCTAGGGCCAGGGGTAGTCTCCCTCTGCTGTCCTGGAGCTCTTCTGTTTATAGATCCCACTCCAGTTCTTTCCCTTCTTGCCTGAGTGTTCACCTTCTGCTCCCTCCCCTGCCTGCCTCAGTCTGTTGTCCGTTCTCACCCTGTGGGGCCACTCCCACAGTTACCCACCTGGCTTCCCATATAGCTGCTGAGGTTGGCATAAACCATACTCGCCTGAGAGTAGTTAACCTCTCTTTGCTCACCCTGAACAAGAAGCCCCACCTGGGCCTGGGGATTTAGCTCAGTGGTTCTGCTGCCTGCCTCGAAAGTGCAAGGACCAGAGTTCAATCCCGGTACCAAAAAAAAAAAAAAACTCCACCTGGTCCCACTACCTCTGGTTCTATGCTCTTAGAGGTCCTGCACTTTCACCGGGCAGAGGCATGTATCATGGAAAGCACCCTTCCTGGGCCTAGTGGAAGCCCAACATGCCCTGACTTGCTATCCTCTTGGGTAGGAGGATGAGAGCCAGGCCCAAGCCACCTGCCAACAGACCTTGTGACAACAGAACCACTGCAGGATTGTGCAGAGGGAGGGCCCAGCTGGCCTCTCACCCAGTGAGAAAGTCAGGCTTCTTCTCCTGGACCAATGGGGAAAAGGTGACTAGACAGGATCTAAGCCTTTGCTCTGATTTGGACCAGTAAAGCCAAGCCCTGAGACCAGCGCTCCTGCCCTGCTTGCCATTTAACCTCACTGTCCTTGTCATCATCCACAGTAATCAGGTGAAGGCTGTTTCCTCATTACCATGAGTTTAGGGATCTGCAAGAGGGCCTGCCCCTCTAGCCTCCCATTGTGTCACATCAGGAACTGCACTAGGGAACACGAATTAGACAGGAACAGCCCAAGGAAGTCATGATCTTTATTCTTGAGATTTGCAGAACTGAAAAGCATCTCCTTTTTTTTTTTGGTACCAGGGATCGAACTTGGGACCTTGTGCTTGTGAGGCAGGCGGCAGAACCTCTGAGCTAAATCCCCAGCCCCTTAAAAAGCATCTCTTGACTAGGCAGTTAAGATCAGATTTGTGTCACTTGGCCACAAACTCCATTTGAAAAAAAACACCCACTAGTTTGCCACCACTGTCTCCTGTATAAACTACCCCTGTATCAGCCTCCCAGAAAGATGCCCTTTAGGATGAGATGGTCCTCTGTCTTCCATTCAGCAGTTTATAGTAATAAAAGTTCTTTCTGTACCACTGCCTTGCCACTGAACATGCAGCCGGCCAGCCAAGCCTTGTGCACAGTAATTGTGTACCTGTGATGACCCTCCTGGATGCCTGCTGTTGGGGATGGTACCAGCCACAATAAAAAAGAGGACAAAATTATATGCATCTTTTGCATCCCCTTTGGAAAGGTCCAGGGCAGAAGAAAAGCGTGACCTTCCCTGAGGAAGTATAGTCACCATTTGTTACCTGTTTTCCTTTGACCAGTGAGGGAAAAATGCCTTACCCATTAAAAACCAAGGTTTCCTGGATACTGATGTAGAGAATCTATATTTTTCTTTCCTTCTTCCCTCCCCCTGTTTTGTAGGGAGCTTGAAGGATTCAGGGGAGCCCTGACCCAGGCACGGCTCAATGGCCCTGGGTGAAGAAAAGGCAGAGCTGGAAGCACCTGTGGACACGAAGTCCCAGTCCTTCAGGAGGTGGAGCCTCAAGGAGCAAGAGAAGGGCCCTGAGCCAGAGCAGCCTCCATGCCAGGAAGCTGAAGGAGGGCCTGCCTCTCCTGTGTGCAGGACAGAGGGGCAACCTGCCCTTTCCTGCTGGGCTGGGGCTGACCCTAGCAACGCCTCTGGAATTTACCTGCCACAGGCCAGTGTGGCCAGGAGAGCAGTGGTAGCAAATGGGCCTAGGCCTGCCCTTGGTGTCCTGCTTCCTCCTGCCATCACAGGGACCGGAGACCTTTTGCATCCTGTGGGAAGCCAGGTGGGTATTAAAGCAAATGGGGCTGTGGGTTGAGCTAGTGTTGTCCTTTGGGAGTACACGCCAGCATTTCCTCCACCATCTTACATCTTTCCCCAGCTGCCATGCAGTCTGGGGAGTTGGGGACGCTGGTGTATGAAGATTTCTGTTTCATGGGTTCTTGTGGAGGGGTGGGCCTCAGGGCCAAGAGGATCCTCTGTCAGTGTCTCCTAGTCCTCACAGGTATGACTGGGCACCTTTTGAGGACCTCGATGGCATGGCCAAGAGCCTACTGCCTAGAAGACTAGAGCAGGGGGCTCTGGCAAGGGGAGCCCTGTCCTGTTTCAGACTTGGTGGTGTGAAGGCTTTAGGGGTACCCTGGGGATACTTGGGAAAGGATGGCTATGGGCTCCTGAGGGCTCTGAGACAAATCCTCTCGGGGCTTTGTTAGAGACTTGAAGTCCCTGTAGGGGGCAGCACTATCCTTGGCTAAGGAGAACTCTTGGGCCTCCCAAACTGCAAAGTAGCTTGCCCTGTGGTAGTCGCATCCCCCTAAATTGTGAGACTGTGGGCTAGTCACTGAATCTTTCAAGCTCTCGTAATTGGAGGGTGACCCAAATGATTTGTGCCTCCTGGTCCAGACATCCAGTTATGTTCTGCTTACCAAAGCCTTTCCTGGGAACAGCTTTGGTCTTCTCTGTGTCCTTGTTGCCTTGGCTGCTGTGTGCTTCCCTCGTGGAGCCTCATTCAGTTAGGAGACTCAGCATGACTGCGAGAAACTAAGGATGGGCCCCACCTGGCTTTGAACAAGGGGTGCTGGGAGGTGCTGGCACTCAGGAAGAAGATCCCTAAACACTGAAGTGAGCCATTTTGACTGGATGCCTGGGGCACACCTATAATCCCAGCACTTTGGGAGGCTGAGGCAGGATTGAGTCTAGCTTAGGCAATTTAACGAGAATAAAAATTCAAAAAGGGGACTGGGGATATAGCTCAATGTGAAGACCATGGCTTCAGTTCCTAGTACCACACACACAAAGTGAGCCATTTCATGAGAGTGAGTCTGTACTTTTTGTTGACACATCTGTTAGTGTCAGGCTCATTCTGTGTCTTTGCACATGTGAGCTCCACAAATCCTTACACCTTTAGGAGGCATCAGTGTTACGATCTCCACTCTATAAGACAGAGAAGTGGAACTCACTGGGAAGGTGGCAGTTAGGAGTTGACATCAGATCTGCCTGTTCCTTAATTATTCTGATGTCCCACCTCCCTGAAGTGGGAGGAGTTCTTTAAACCGATTAAAAATTCAAAATGAAGAAGCTGAGATGAGTAACTCGTCCTGCCAGCATTCAGTTCCCACTGGCATTCAAGCTGAGCAGACTGTGACCTGGTGGGGTTGCTGGGTTTGGATCTCCTGTCAGTCATGGTGATCAAGGCTTTCACCTGCCCAGGACATACTGCCCAGAGGCTATGCAGTGTTTTTCAGCTTTAGCACGGTAAAATGGTCTCAGTTCTGCTTGCTCACAAACATTACCATAGAGGAAGAACTTTTGAAAAAAGACCAGGGATGGGGATCAGTTGGGAACGACTTCCAGGTAGAGGCTGTTTGGGGGCTGCACTAGCAGCACATCCTTCTTTGCCTGATTTGTTTTGTTTTGTTGGGGTTTGTTTTGGTTTTTTTTGAGACATGGCTTCACTATAGAGTTGAGGCTGGCCTTCAACTCACCAGGCTGGTCTCAATCTCACGGTGATCTTCCTGCCTCAGCCTCCCAAGTAGGATCACAGGCTCTTTTGTCTGATTTTTGTCTCAGAGGTCACAGAGTTTTCATTTTGATATCTTCCCTGGATATCATTGGGGTCCACAACAAAACTCTGGGTTGTCATCTGAGAAGAAAGTAGGTTCAATTATTTACCCCTGAGTACCTTGTCTTCCCTCTTATTACAGATGGAGGAGACGAAGCTTTCTGCCTCTCGGGGGCTACCTCAAACTGTTAACACCCCCAGAACTACAGCCCTTTGCTCAGGACACAATGCTGATACTGAAGATGACCCCTCCCCAGTTGATTCACCCCAGGTGCCAGGCCTCAGCCAGCAGCCTCCCATCTCAGGTGCCCCTTTCCCGTCACAGCGGAGGTCCATGGTGAGCTCAGGTGCTGCTGCTCCTCGGCTCTGCAGCCCTAGTGTCTCTGCCTCGCCCACGGGCAGCAGTCTCCAGGGTTACCAAGAGAAGGGAGAGCCTCTGAGTGGCTCCCTTGCCAAGGTCTCCTCCTCCCTGGAGCTGGCTGTCTCCCAGGAGCCCCACACTGTGGGGGCAGCAGGGCCTCGGCTGCAGTGGTCCCCACACCCTGTGGCCTCTGGGGGTGACACTGCTGGCCCAGGCAGGAGGCACCTCTCCTTCCAGACAGAGTATTGGGCCTGTGTGCTGCCCAATTCCCTGCCTCCTTCTCCCGACCGCCACTCCCCGCTCTGGAACCCAAATAAAGAGTATGAAGACCTCCTTGACTATACTTACCCACTGAGGCCTGGGCCTCGGCTCCCGAAGCAACTTGACAGCCACATGGTGGCTGACCCTGTCCTGCAGGACTCAGGTATAGACCTGGATAGCTTCTCTGTCTCCCCAGCAAGCACCCTCAAGTCACCCATTAATGTCTCCCCCAATTGTCCACTAGCAGAGGCTCCCACTTTACCATTTTCTGGGCCCAGAGAACCAGGCCTTAAGCAGTGGCCCTCTAGGATACCCCAGAAGTGGGGCAGCATGGGCCTGGCACCTTGGAGCCAGCTTTCATCAACGCCTAAAGGCCCAGGCCATGGGGATGCTCCTTGGAAGGGTAGAGAGACAGCTCTGAGGGGCGTGAAGGATTGGCCACCTATGAGCAAGCACCCCAAGGTGCCCTCACTTCCCCAAGTGAGGACAAGAGACAGAGGGTGGCCCTCACCCAGGACAGAGAGGGACAAGAGGGCCAGCCAGAGTGTCTTTCACCCTACCTGCATGGAGTCTGGATGGAAATTGGAAGAGGTGGAGGAAAGTGACGAGTATCTTGCCCTGCCCACTCGGCTGACACAAGTTTCTAGTTTAGTTTCGTATCTAGGCACCCTACCCACTGGGGCTGCTGAGGGACAGAGCTCTTTTGAAGTGTCGGACAGTAATGGGCCAGCTTCCTTCCCATCAGATTCCAGCCAAAGCCAGCTTCCTTCTGGGGCTGCCTTCCAGAGGTCTGGGGCCTCTGAAGGCCAGAACCTGCACAACTTTGTGTGTGCCCAGGACTCTGCAGGAGAAGACAGTCTGGTGAACAACCAGGCCCTGAGGGTCTCCTCTGGACTGCTAAAATCACACCCCTCACCAACTGTGTTGGACAAGTGGCCCTTCTCAGACCCAGATGCTGAAGGGCATCTTCTCAGGAAAGCAGAAGAACAGAGGAAAGACTCGTTGGTCCAGTGTGTGCAGGTAAAGACGCAAAGCATGGAGAGGCTTTGTCTTGTCCCTCCGTCCCTCACACCATAAAATTCCTGGTGTTGACCATGAACTCTTCATGTGCCAGGCACTCTGCTGTATCTTATCTTTAGTCTCACAGGTTTTACCAGATAATTACTGTTCTCGTCTCACCGTTTAGAGAAAAAGGTAACTTGCCCACTTCCAACTACCTGAACTCAGAGCCAGGCAGATGTGTCTGCAAAGCCTGAGCTTTTAACCACTCTCCCCGCTGCTTCCCACTTCAGAGGTGTTGTGCATAGAAAGGGTTGCTGTGCACAAGTCTTTAGGAAACACTGGGCTTTACAAACTCAGAGGCTGTCTTGCCTACAGGACTTCTCTGAGCTTCATTTTCCACCGAGTGACTCTGCAAAGTTAGGAGCATCAGATGTCCTGTGTCCTGACTTCTTGGCCACTGAACCTTCTTTTTGGGGGCACCTATTAGCATCTGGAGATGTAGTTAATTGTGAATGGAATAGGATTGTTAGGGCCAGGCAGATCTGGATTTGAATCAAGGCACTGCCTCCTCCAGAATTTTGTCTTGCATGCTTTATAAAATGTGGAGTGCTGCTTCTTCAGGATATTGTGTTCATTAAATAATTCCTGTCAGAGCTTTACTCGGTGCTTTGACACAGGATGAAGGTTCAGAAGCTTGCCCTTCCCCACTCTTCAAGCAACCCGATGTCTGAGAGGCAGGAATGAGCACTGTCCACACTGCAGCGGGTGCACTGCAGTGTGGCAGGTGCCCTGCTGGCCCTTACGAGCCCACACTACCAACATGTCCTGACAGTTCAGTTAATCTGCCCACAAGTCATGTGGGTTATTTGTCCTGTGAAGAAGGTAGGACCAGTGTTACTGTTTACTCTTCTTTGTGATAAAAGATTGATATACCATGAGCTAAAGTTGTTTTCAACTGTGGCTTCAGGTTAGTCATGATTTAGTTACTTATTTTGCATTTAGTTTTCCTCAGAGAAGCAGTTTAGTGGTTAGTAATTGCGTTGATCCAAGAATTGCTTTCTGTGGCAGACCTGCCTCTTTTGGACTGTTCTGTCCCTTTTCTTTCACAGCTCCACTCCGACCTACAGGGCTGGGTTTTCTCAGCTTGTCATTTTTGTGGTCACATCTGGCTGAGGGCAGACAGAGCAAATAGGGCTTCTCGTTTCCCTGGCAGAAGGTCTAGCCCTCATTCTGGGAACAGGTGAGGCAGGAAGAGGGAGGAGACTGTTGACTGAGGGAAAGCCCTGGAAAGGTACACAGGTGGTCTCCCAGAGTCATCATATTTTTAGCCTTTGGATAGTGTAAACAGCAGTTCTGTCAGTAATACTCAGTGTTCTTTTATTTGCCTCTGCAGACATTTTGCTGTCAGCTAGAAGAGTTGATCCACTGGCTGTATAATGTCACAGATGTCACTGACCTTGGGACTCCGCCCCAGTCCAGTCTTACAGGTCTCAAGTCTTCTCTGCAATTTTACCGGGTAATACATGCTCCTAGTTTCTGGTGGTTCATTCACAAGAGTGGTGACAAAATTATTAAACAATAAAATAACTGATGCCTGGTGTGTTGTAGCTCAGTTGCCTGTTTTACCAGAAATTAATCAGAGACCTTTTTCAAATTCTAAGTGCAGAAAACTGAAATGAATGAGTTACCTCCCAGGCCAAATAGAGTTTAGAGAATATACATTAAATTTATTTGTTTGTTTTTTGTCCTGTTTTTTGGTTTTTTAAGACAGAGTATCACTACAAAGTTTGGGCTGGTCTTGAACTCAATATGTAGCCCAAGCTGGCCTCAAGCTCCCAGTTATCCTCTTGCCTCAGCCTCCCGAGTGTTGAAGCACCACCATGCCTGGCTAGATTTATTTTGAAAAAAAAAAAAAACTTCTGGGAGGCTGAGGATTTAGCTCAGCAACACTCCACCTGCCTGGCAAGTGCAAGGTCCTGAGTTCCATCACCAGTACCAAAGGAAAAAAAAAAACAACTTCAGGGTTTAGGCATGGTGGTGCATTCCTATAATCTCAGCTGTTTGGGAGGCTAACGCAGAATCATAAGTTGGAGAATAGGCTGGGAAGTTTAATAAGATATGTGAAAAGTGAACAGTAATATAGCTCAGTGCTTCCTGGGTTCCCTCCACAGTGCTACAAAAAAGGCTAAGGGTTGTAGCTTAGTGGTAGAGTGCTCACCTAGCATTCCCACAGCCCTAAATTAGATCCCTAGTACCAATTCCCCAAAACATTTAAAGAAAAAATGTTTTAGGGTGTTTTGCATTGTAACTTCCCAAATATCTCAGGTATTAATAGACATGTAGAACCATTACTCAAATATAGCAATTTAAATAAAATTAAAGGTTCAGATTTTTTTAAGTTGCCACTCCCTACACTCCAAGTGCTCAGTTGCTACATCTGGCTAGTGGATGCCACACTGAACAGCGTAGGTACAGAACCCTTGGTCATCACAGAATGTTGTACTGGACTATGCCGGTATTTAAGGATCTGAGTTGAAATTATCTTGACTCCAGAATATACACAGGGCATTTTGATGGAGCAATTGTACACAAAATGTTTAAGCTCAAGTTTGAATTTAATTTTTCATTTTTTAATTAGTGTCCTGTTATTTTAAAAATATCTCTGAGTTTTATTTAACATGACTATATTAAGTGTATCAAAGAATAAATCATAGTTGTTTCTTCTGAACATACAGTTAACATTGGCTGATTGTCAGCATGTCCGACTGGCCAAGCCTCTAACTTCTCCATGAAGGACCATGGGTGGTATCTGCGGTCTGAGCTTGATGCTTGTTTAGAAGGGGTTTATTGAGTTTCTCACCCAGCCCTATCTGAAGAGGCTGTGATTTATATGTGCCTGAGCCAGGGCTGCACCAGCCTGTGCTAAGCTGATTCCAGCCCACTGAACCACACCCCAGCTGGAGGGAGGGCCTTTGTTTTCTGTTTTGGAGCCAGCTGAAATCTTGCCTGAGCTTGGGCCGGCAGGCTTAACTGCTCCACCGTATAAGGAATGCTATTTGCTGCGGTGTGGAGCTGTTGCCATGAGTTCCTCAGCCAGAGTGAGCATAGGAATGGAAAGCAGAGCCCAAGAGTCCTTTGTGTGCAGACCCCCATGCGAGCACACAAACACACACACCCCTTTGCAGGACCCCCACCCCAGCTGCAGGGCCAGCACCTCTGTAAGGAGAGAAATCACCCTGCTAGATACCTCAGTAGCCTTTGCTTCTCTGTCAGGACAGGGACAAAGGGACTAACTCCATTCCCTACATTTGATCCCTCACACCCTTCTGTTACCTTCCAGGCCAGCCAGAAGCAGCTGTCTGTGTGGATACAGCTGAGATCTGAGGCAGGAGTTGCTCCTGCAAGCCATCAAGGCTTAGGCCTGTGAGACTGTATTGTCGGCCCCTTCCCACACAGTAGTGCATGGCCCATGCTTAGGTATGAGCTATCCTGGCTTCTGCTTATATCAAGACCTAGTGTAAGCGTATGTCTGTTCACATTTTAATATGTGACTCATTTGTACTTTGTCTTAACATGGTGGGGTAAAGCAGCATCTAAACTATACATAGTACCAGAGAATAAGTATAGGTATCAGAGTAAAGGAAGACTAACAAAAAAACCTGCAAATCCAACAGTAAAATTATCACTTCAAAATGTTAACCACCAAGTTTTGCCCCAGACTAGTGATCATGAGTATGACCTTACACTTTTCAGCAGCTAAAGGTCACAGCCAGCCAGCCACAGGCCTAGTAGCCACGAGTAGCCCTGATGCAGAGGCAGTTCCAGAGGCCTATGGAGAGAAGTCACCGAGGTAGACGCAACAGCTCCTGGGGGCTCTCCATAATGGCAGACTGCTTGTGGTTCTTACTTAGAACGTCCATTCAGATACAGTACAATTGATTTTGGGAATCCCATTACTTCCATGAGTGAAAGCACAATTGAAGCACAAAAAGGAATCTCTGACTCCAAGCTATTCAGGAGCCAGCCTCTACCAGGAGAAAACTTCTGTCAAACTAAACAGAACAAAACTACTGACTCTGTTTCCCCTGGGCTCAAAGAAGATGAAGTTAAACCACTCATTGCTTAAAGTATTTTGTAGACTAGGCAGTCTATATTTTCCAGCTACCTTGCCTGGCATTTGTTTTGAACAACTTTTATAAAATAATAGTAATGAAGCTTTTTTTTTCTTTTCCTGATACATCTGAAGCAATTTAAGAGAGATATACATGAGCATCAGTCCTTGACAGAGAGTGTCCTAGAGAAGGGGGAGACACTTCTTCAGTGCCTGCTGGACAGTACCCCAGGTGAGAAGCTCCAGCAACTTTTCTCTCTTATTTATTTTGGACTGGCATATAATTGCACAAATCTATGGGGTGCAGTGTGTCATTTCAGTACATGTGTACAGTGTGTAATGATAGGTGTATTCATTAGCTCAAACATTTATTGTTAGCATTTTCTCATGTTAGGACCATTCCAATCTATTGGAATGGACCATTCCAAATCTATTTTGAAATACACAATTAATTGTTGTCATGTATAGTTACCCTTCTGTGCTATAAAACATTAGAAATGGGTCAAGGGATAAAACTCATGGGCATATACAAGGCCCAGTGCTTGATGCTTGGCACTACCCCCCACCCAAATGTTACTCCTTTTTCTGTCCCAACTGCATACCTGTTGTTTACCCATTAACTGTCTTCTCTCCATTCTCTCTCCACACCCTTCTGTAAGATCTACCTTTTAGCTTCCATGTGAGTCCACATAAGAACATACAGTATGTCTTCTCTGTGCCTGATTTCACTTAACATGTTCTTCAGTTCTATCCATGTTGTTGCTAATGAATATCATTCTTTTTATGGCTGAGTAATATTCTATTGTGTATATAATCCATGTTTTTCAATCCATCCATCAGTGGACACCTAGATTGATGTCTATTGCAAATGTCTTTGTTATACTGATTTCATTTCCTTTAAATATATTCCCAGTTGTGGAACTGGTAGATCATGTGGCAGTTTTATTTCTAGTGTTATGAGGAATTTCCATAGTGGCTGTACTGATTTAACTCGCACCGACAGTTTTTTTTTTTGGTATTGGGGATGGAACTCAGGTCCTTAGGCTTTTGAAGCAGGCGGCAGAACCACTGAGCTAAATCCCCAGCCCAAGCATTGTCTTTTTAATAATAGCTGTTCTAACTGGAGATTACATCTCATTGTGGTTTTCATTTGCATTTCCCTCACCATTTGTTATAGTGAGCGATTTTTCATATATTTTTGGTCATTTGTGTATCTTTTGAGAAATCTCTATTCAGGTTATTATTAACTCATTAAAAAAATTTTTTGTTTGAATTCTTTGTATATTCTGGGATTTAGTCCCTTGTTAGATCAACAGTTCAAATACATTTTCCCCTTTCTGTAGGTTGTCTCTTCGCTGTTGTTTGCTTTGCTGTGCAGAAGCTTTCTAGTTTGATGTCATTCTGTTTATCAGTTCTGTTGCACCTATGCTTTTGGGGTTATACCAAAAAAAAACTTTGCCCAGACCAATGTCCTGCAACATATTTTCTTCTAGTAGTTTCAGTTTCAGGAGTTACATTTAAGTCTTTGATCCATTTTGGGTTGGTTTTTATATAAGGTGAGGGATGGGAATCAAGTTTAAATCTTCTGCAAAGAAAATGGTGCGGGGCCGGGGATTTAGCTCAATGGTTCCACCACCTGCCTCGCAAGCGCAAGGACCCGAGTTCAATCCCCAGTACCAAAAAAGAAAATGGTGCAAACTTCATTTATTGAAGAAACTTTCACTTTTCTGTGTCTTGCTCCCTTTGTATAAAAAAAAAATCAATTGGCTCTAGATGTGTGGATTTATTTCTGGGTTCTCCATTCTGTTTCATTGGTCTGTGTATGTTTTTACGTGCTTGAGGTTTTTTTCCATAGCTAGCACTTAATCCTTTCAGCAGCAAGCCCAGGGACCTACACTGTGCTTGGTAAAGAGCCAGTATTGCAAGAACACACCCTTCCCCACTGCCATGAACCACGCGTAGAGTTCCGTGATGATGGTCTGTGGGTTCTTTGCATCATTGCTGCCCCTGGAGACCCATGGTGGGACATTTACAGTCATAAAAGTAAGCCTATCAGAAATTAGGTAACAAGCCTGCAAAAACAGCACTCTTGCTTTTGCTTTTGTTTGCCTGGTGGTATTCTGGGTAAGAATTCTGGTTTTAACCCGGCAGCCCTTAGTTGTGGCTGGGTTATTCAGTAGGCAGCCCTCTCATCTTACACAGCTCAGGTGGAACTCTTGTTTATCTGCTTTGGTCAAGGATTTGTTCCAGGAAAACAATGTATTGAAAACAGTCTATTCTCAAGGAATGAAGGAAGTTTACTGACAAGAAGGAGCGGGATGGTTGTGGCATGCAAGCCAAGTTCTAACCCATTTTGCAGGATGGAGTCTACTTTAGGAAACTGTAAAAATCAAAAACATTAAGAGTACTTCTAAGTGGGTCTAGTACCAAGAATTTATGGTCTTCCTTGTCCCCTGGGGGAGAAGCTATGATATGAACCATCAGTCAAAATGCTAGGTTGAGCCAGGGATGTAGCCAGTGGTTCTGGCGCCTGCCTCGAAAGCGGAAGGACCTGAGTTCAATCCCCAGTACCAAAAAAAACCCAAACAAACAAAATGCTAGGTTGAAGTACTGGACTTAGGAGCCCCCAAAAGCATTCCCTAATTTCATGTAAGACTACCAGCAAGGACTTACACAGCCCATCTATATTATGCTTCAGTTGTAGAGTGAGGTGGGATTTATACTGGCATCAAATAGCATAAGCAAAGCTGGGCAGGGCCCAGGGGTCAGGAGGAAGTGAGAGGCACTTCGCTTAACGAGAGCAGTGGGCAGTGGGGAGAGGGAGTTCTCAGCACTTGCCCACTGGCATACGGGCCTCCAGCATTCTTTGTAGGGAAGCTTCCTGTGCATTGCAGAATGGTTAGCACCCCTACTGGGTGCCAGTCAGCCATCTCCGAGTTACAACCACCCGAAGCATTTCCAGACCATTCCACTTGGATTCTGGGAAGATCTGTGAATAGGCAGAGGCGTTTTGATGGACAGTGACCACTGAAGGGTTTTCAGCACAGAAGTGTCTGTCCAGTATGAATTGTGAGCTCTTTGCAATCCTTTGTCCTCGTAAGGTCTCTGTTTTAGTTCTTCCCATGTTCTCTTGCACTAGGATCTTTAGGTTTACGTTGGGCAGAAACTCAGTATGCTAGCTCCTTTGATGCGCTTGTAATTACACTAGCATTTTACTGAACACTTAGCATAGACTGAAGCAGTTGGCATTATCTTTTTTTTTTTTTCATTTAATCACAGCTTTATAAGATAGAAACTGCTATCATCCTTACCTTAAGAGCTGTGAAAATCCCTCAGGCAGCTGCTGTGCACTAACTCCAGCTGTCAGATTGTCTGGAGGGGCAGGAGCCTGAGCCAGAAGGGAAAGCACTCAAATACAGGAACTTCCTCTTCTTCATGGAGGCCACTCATAAAAAGTAGGTCTCTTCAAAGTTACCATTTTGATCTTCACTTGAAAGTCAATTCAGAAATAGTTTTCAGTGCCTATCCTGTAGTAATAAGAACAGCCCACTTTGCCCTGCTCTCACAAGCGACCTAGGGGAATTTACTGGCCAGAAGTAGACTTCAGTTTTCTGTAGTTCTCACATATGTATGTGGGCTCTTTCGGATTGGTATACTGGCTCTCCCATCCTGTCTGGAATAATCAGAACACTTAAGGGTTTTGTGAAAATCACAAGTTCCTCTTGACACTTCACACTTTCTTCCTGGGATTAGTGGAGCTAGCACACATCTCCCCTGAGAGCACCACATTTTCTTACTTAGCTACAAGTGTAACTTTAATGATGTGATGCCAAAGTTTATGTGCCCCTCCAGGAAGTCCTGAAATAGGCGTCCCTATTTTTGCTCTCCATTTTTACCCAGGTACTTAAGAGCAGCTGGCAGTTGTCTCACACCCTGGTTCCTTATTATAATGAGTTAATGACTGTTGTCATTAAGCCAAATGAGATCCCTATGTATTTGTACGTAATTAAAACACAAAAGTAGCTGGGTACAATGGCACACACTTGTAATCCTAGCACTGAGGGAGACTGAGGCAAGAGGATCACAAATTCAAGTCCTGCATAGACAACTTAGTGAGACCCTGTGTCAAAATGAAAAATAAGGGCTAAAAATGTAGTTTAGTAATAGCTCTTGTGTACAATCTCCGGTAACAAAGTGGGAGGAAACACTTAAGAGTCACAGTGGGAAAAATTTCTGTTTTATTCCCCTTCCTGACTTCTCTTTTCTTTGGCCCCTACCATCTAAAAGGTCAAACAAAAAGATTCCCTGAATTCTACTGGCAATACACAAGGAGACTGAACACAGGTCTGATGAAGGAGAGAGCACAGGCTGCCACCCTTACAGCCAGGTGTCACCTAGCTGTATTCCTCTACTAGGACAGCACTTTGCCCTGATGAAAGGGCACTGATGTGGCCTACCCAGGGCTGATCTCAACAGTTCCTTCTCCTTCCCGCCATCTAGTCTGCATCATCTGCAGATACGCAGTTTCCTCTTTCCCCTCTGTGGGCACACATTGCACTGTAGCAGGAAACAAGGGAGCTTATAACACAGCTGATAAAGGCACCGGAAGCTAAGGCAGTCTTTGTGTTTAACAAAAATATTTTTTTAAAGAGAAAAAAAAGCCCTGCTGTGTGTGATCCACTGACCCCAGCCCATCCCTTCCTCATTCCAACACTGCAGGAGTGAAGCTTGGCCTTGCTAACAGATCTTTAAGTCTGTTCACTTAGGACCCACAGAAGGGTTCACAAGCATTCCCAAATAACTCTGAAGACCATCTGTGTGAAATGTCAGTTCTCCCAGCTAACAGAAGTTGATAGGAGCTGGTAGCGGGCCAGCATCCTAATCTAGGCATGCTGTTTTATTTCATTTTTAAACTTTATGCCCAAAAGGATGTGAGTGTGCCCTATCTCATCTCCTCAGACAGATAATACCAGTCACCAGAAAACCACATCTGCGCACCCTGTTGTAATTATGTTAATTCTAAAGTGGAACCAGCAAATTCTCTTAGCTTTAACCAGAAGTTAACATAGATTCTCCAGTGCAGCATAAGCCTAGGAACATCACTGTTTAAAGGGAGGAGGGAAGGTGAGCTATTGCCACAGTCTTTGAGCAAAATGGTATACCTTTTTTTTATATGCCTTATTGTTAGTTTTAAAGGATGTCCTTGGGAGGATCTCGAAGCAGTCTGGTGAACTGGAAAGCCACGCAGATCGGCTTTATGACTCTATCCTAGCCTCTATGGACATGCTGGCTGGCTGCAGCCTCATCCCTGACAATAAGCCAGTGGCAGCCACGGAGCCCCCACATGCAGGGGTTTAACCAGGTAAGTAGAGGAAACAAAGAAGTCTGCCCTCCAGCCCCAGTGCTGATTAGGGCACAGAGCTCCTGCTTTGACAGTTGACTGTCACTTAGAAGCATGCTGAGCTTATTTAAACAAATGAGATGGCTGGAGGAAGGTCACCAGTGGTATAGAAAAGGAGTCGTTACCTTCCTTTACTTTGTTTCATCCCTGCTGCCTGCTAAGAATGAGCACCTCCACGCTTGTCATCCAAAGACAGCAGCAGCTTTAACTGTACTTCATTTCTGCACATGTACACATGTACACTTCCAGTATGGATTAGGCCGCCCCACCTGGAGGGTCTTCTCACCCAGCTAATTTGGTGCCCCATCTCCAAGCGTCTCTGCAGCACTTTCTGTCCACAGACACCCAGTTACTGCTGATGCTCCCTTCCCACAGAAGAACTCTGCGTATTTCCTACACCACTCATTTGAAAAAAAGGCTAGGAGACACATGAGTTTTACACACCTTGGAGACTTAAGTAATACAACTTTCCCCTCAGAAATTCAAACAGGGAATAATAGGAAAGAAGGGCTAAGAGTAGTTGCCACTGCCCAACACTTAATATTCCACAATTGTACTGTTCTTTCTCTGGAATTCTATAACTCAATGTTCATAAGCTCAACCAGATTTTCTAGGTAAGAATTCACTGTCGCAGCCATATGTGGTGGCATGTGCTTATAATCCTAGCACTGAGGAGGCGAAGGCAGGTGGTTCACAACTTACAGGGTAGCCTGGCTGAGACCCTGTCAAAAAAAGAAAACCCTAAGATATTTCAAGAATGAAGAGTTCCTATAGTTTCATTACAGCAATTTAAGTAGTCATCTTAGGCTTGTTTTTTTTTTTTCCTCCTCCAGTATTGGGGGTCAAACTCAGGACTTTGGGCTTGCCAGGCAGGCGTGGCGACACTGAGCTAAATCCCTGACCCCCATCTTGGTTTTTAAATGAATGCAGGTGATTGCTGCTGTTTCTTCAACATTTTGCACTTTCTTTCAGGCATCTTCTTCAGCAAAACTGCAGTCGCCAGCCAAAGGTTGTTCTTGGGAAGAAAATGTTCTCAAGTCCTGGCAAGAGTCACTTAACAGTTAAATTAAGGAGGAAATTTTAATATACTAGCTTTAAAATGCCTTTCTCTTGTAGAAGTAAGGGCTGTTGAAGTTACTGGTTTGTTTTTTTTTGGTACTGGGGATCAAACTCGGGTCCTTGCACTTTCAAGGCAGGCCACGGAACCACTGAGCTAAATCCCCCGGCCCTGAAGTTACTGTTTCTATTTACAATGAGTCCTTCCAGACTTAAGGTTTTCCTTTTGGTGCTTCTCTGTAAAAAGCATGTGGCTTTGCAATTTTTGATAAAATAGTAAAATTTACAGGTCTTCTCTGTTCAGTTAAAAAAAAATTGCGGACAAAGCTCCTAACTCTTCTACCTGTTGAGGTCATGGAGAAGACGGCTTTGAGAAAGAAGATTCCAGGCCCAGGGATTTAGCTCCGTGGTGTGGCACCTGCCTTACAAGCAAAAGTCCTGAGTTTGATCCTCAGTACCAGGAAAAAAAAAGATTCCAAATACAGTACTTGGTATTCCCAGGCATAGAAGGGGACTCATGAGACTGAAAAAGCAGTTGATTGACCAAAAGCCTTGGGTCTTTTCAGAAAGTTAGGCTCAGGTTTTAAATTTCCTCTTTAAAGACTTTTTTAAAAGCGATTTTAGCCACTGATCTGTAGAAGGAAACTGGTAAGCGAGTAGAACCTCTACAGACTACTTTGAGCACAGGTGATAACACTTTGCTGTGTTCTGTGGCTGACGTCTCCACCTTCCTGCCTAACTGATTCCTTAAAAGAAAGCCGGGGATGTAGCTCAGTGGCACACCTTCGTGGAAAGTGCAGGGTCCTGAATTCAATCCCGAATAAGGGGAAGGGAATGTGTCAGGGCATCAGAAAACTACTGTTGTACTTCAGCTTTGTTATGGAGCTTATTAACAAGCTTAAGGGTGATTCTTGGAGAACTCAACTGTCCCTTCTGTTCTCCCTTGGAAGACTACAGAAACTAAACCTGTCGGGAGTAAAATCTTGGTCTTTTGGGAGTAGATGTTAAGTACCTTGTCAAAAGAAAGAAAAAAAGTGTGTGGATCAATCATTTAAAACATCGATTCGCTAAGTGGTTTTTTTTTTGGTACTGGGGATCAAACTCGGGTTGTTGCGCTTTCGAGGCAGGCCGCGGAACCACTGAGCTAAATCCTCAGCCCTCACTAAGTGTTTTGAAGCAAAGCAGTTATTGCTAGTAACTGCAGATTCCACGCACCAAAAAGAGCACTTTAAAAAGTTCTACTTGGGCTTTGAATACCAAATGGAAGCAAAATACATTAACAGTATGTAAAGTTTTATTAAATGTGATTTTTCTGCTCCAAATTTCTTAGACTTTAGACACTGGAAATAGCTGTTAATTCTAATATTTAATTGGCTATTTAGGAGTAGCTACACATAAAATGCAGTATTTCAAATGCCTGTAGCATAATGTGGATTAACCATAAATTTAAGAGCACATTCAGAATTAAACTTTTATGATTCTGCCATCATATTTATCTTGATTCTATAAATGTTGAGATTTTTAAAGACCAAAAAAAATCTCCCTGGCAAATAATTATCAATTATGTGTGCATATATATGCATATTATATTCACACATAATAACTATATTATTTCTTTAAAGCCTAGAATTGGTTTAAAAGGCAGGTATGTGTGATGGCCTCTACTCTCAAATTGATACATTTGATGTAGGTGTAAACTGGAACATGCCTTTCCAGAGTATGTTAGAGCAGCCCTTACAAATTAAACCCATTTGACAAGCATGAATATGTCACTTTGGGGCCAGGATTTAGCTCAGCAGCATAGCACCTGCCTGGCAAGCATGAGGTCCCCAGTTTGATCCCCAGTTTGGTATCGGGGATCGAACTCGGGACCTTGCGCTTAGGCTTTCGAGGCAGGCGCTTAGAACCAACTGAGCTAAATCCCGAGCCCGAAATTGGCATTTTTGAAGGTGATAACCTTATGGAAACAAGCTGACTAATATTACACCAGTTGAATGTAGAATATGGTATTCTTATTCCCACTCACTGCAATAATAATCAGCTTCAAGTGACAGGGATTTTCAATTTTATTTTGGAATACTGTTTTTCCCAAGAAACTGCTACCTTATCTAGAGATGATCTAAGATATTTTTGTTCATCTTGTTTGAAATAAGATGTGACTAAAGAGTACTCTCTGAAGCTGGATGTAAATGCCACCAGAGTATTAACACGACTGTTAATTACATCTTCAGCTATGCACAGTTTGAAACCTCTCTTAAAACTCAAGCTGAAATTATTTCACCCTAGGAAGATGCTGCCAGTAGTATTCCCATCACCAAACACTGCCAGGTTAGATTTAAGTAGCCAAGCAGGTTGGCACCTTGTGGTGCCATATTAAATAAAATTTCTTAGTAATCCCTTAAAATAAATGGAATTTGTCTAGAGGAAAGTGGCAAAAACTAAAGGTGAGCAATTTCAAGACAGGGTTCTTGGGCCGGGGATTTAGCTCACTGGTGCCACCGTCTGCCACACAAGTGCGAGGTCCCAAGTTCGATCTCCAGTACCAAAAAAAAAAGACTGGGTTCTTGTTATAAACACCTGGCTAAGCTCCAGCAAATAGGAGACTTACAATACAGGGCAGTTTTGAAGTTTATGTGGGAACCCAAAGGTTGATGTAAGATATCGTGGAATGGCAATGTATATGCTAAAAAGAAATTTCTATCCAAGGTCAGAGAACAGGAAGTTAGTGGTCAGACCATTATGGGTTTCCTTCTATAAGGATTTCCCAGTTTGCCCCTGCTTTGAACATTCATTATGTAAACTAAATTATGGCAGCCTCTTATATTTAAAACATGACAAGTGATAATTCCTTTCTATGTGAACTAGTTAAAGACCACGGCAGCCTTGAAATGTTTATACTTGAAAATGGGGTTAGAAGCAGGAATATATTTTTTCAAAAATGGATTTATTGGCATATAAATAAAAGCAAATAGTGAAGTATGCTGAAATGCTGTGGTAAGTCCTAATTTTGACTGCCACAAGGAAAAGAACATTGATTTTCCAAACTAAGTATGTAAATATGCTCATATATCAAAATAAATTCATGTAATATTTTCTGATAACTTGCCAAGAATAAGCTGACAGTTTGAACAACTTTTGCTATATAATTCTAAAATGCACAGCATCCCATTTAATAGCCCATCTGATATTTGTTTCATGTCATTTAGCTACTTTAGAAAATAGTTTGTGAATTATTTTCCCCCTTTATATACTGTATTGATAAAGGGAAAAAAAAATTTTAAGCATTAAAAGAAAAAAACCACAAATAGCTATTGGTAACTTCAGGAATTTGTCATTTGCCTTATATAAGGATGAATAGATCCAACAAGCACGTCTATAATACAAAGTAAACTATGATTTTATTGTGAAATTCTCATAGATGGAAAATTAAATTGAATATTTATTCTGTTCATTTCATTTTACAATAATCTTACCACTTATTTTTGTACCATGTATCTCATTTGCCTGTTTAGTGAAAAATAAAGAAAACTATAATTTTTGGCTTGTTTTTAACTTAAATTTTCTCATTAAAGACCCCACAATAAAATGTTTTGCTAACAGCCATATCTCAGGCACCCATGTCAAGAATATTTTGGCTGCTACTTCAACCTAAGGAAATAATCTTTGACCTCTGGCACTTTTAAATGCCAGTGTCAGCAACAGGTTAAGTTTCCCACAATAAAACAAAAACAAACCCTAGGATCCTGACAGGTTTTTTAAACAAAATTTTCACATACATGCAAGAATTTTGCCAAAATATTGATCTTTCATTTATAATTCCCACCTAGCATTCATGTTTCAGTTCATTTTCAGGGATATAATGTCTAAAATTGGGGCAATAGGGCCGGGAATTTAGCTCAGTGGTTCCTCTACCTGCCTCGAAGGTGCAATGACCTGAGTTCAATCCCCAGTACCCCCCCCAAAAAAAAATAAAATTGGGGCAATAAAGTTTCCTATCTTGTATTCTGGGGACCCAAGGCTCTGCCACATGTCCGGCAGGCCCTCTACCACTGAGCTATATCCCCAGCCCCAAGTTTCCTGCTTTCTACTTTAATGCATGAACTCTCCTCCAACATAAATTCTACCCTTGTGAAGGATGAAACAGCTGATATCTTGACTCAGAGCACAGAAGAACTATCAGCGTATTTTATATGACCGCTTGCCAGTTAAGGTATACTCTCCACCTCTACCACAGATGAATTAATAAAATGTTGACCACTGAGGCCATTTCAAATGGTTTTAGAGAAAAATAATATGCTAGAAGTACACATTCTAAACTTGATTTCCATACAATTTGAGCTCACTGAACTACTGAAGTTGGTTAAATCCCTAACAGCAGATGCCTCCCTAGGTCATTTATCAGGTCTGTTAGCTAGAAATACTGGATAATGCACAATTGGTCTACTGTTCCCTGGCTGCACACACAAATGGCTGTTTTGAGTATAATGCAAGGCTCTATTTCCCTTTAACCGTAATAATTAAAACAATACTTATCACCATACAGTTTGATATTACTTCCAATAAGTACAATATTTATTAAACATATCTTCAGTTGTTTTGTTACATAGTGTGCAACAAATTACAATATTCTGCAGCCACAAATTATATGCAGAGTATGAAGAAACTATTAATCAGATAGTGTACTCTTTCCATTTATAACTCTACAAGGAAGAACTAGCAAATCAGATCTTACATGTAACATCTCACTAAACTTTATGCATGGAAAGTGACAGACACTGGTTGTGCTGTTTGATACAAAATGGCTGAACTTCATCTTCAGAAGACTAAACCTGACATCTAAACATGCCAATATAAACATCAAAACAAAATATATTCTACCCAACCACGGGAAACAGTCTGGTATCAGGAAAGCAACAAGGATTACACACATTATTTTATAAACCAGCACACAAAGGTTTAAAACAGTTCTGAAAATGAAGTTAGCTGTCTTGAGTCAAGGGAATAAAAAAAAAGTCAGTATTGACCATTTACAATCTCTGACCTTTGTGGAGACGGTAAGAATCTGTTGTAGTGCAGCTACATACAGTACAATTCAGGCAATTTCGTTTTTCACTTGGGTTCAGATTGCAAATTCATTGCTGAGAAAAGGATGGAGGCAAATTTTAGCAGCAGCCTCCACCTGACTGCTTGACTGGAGTGCTCTGAATTTTAACATTGGACTTCTCTGCGCCACCAGCTGTTGCTCCAGGGCCCATTCGTTTTTTAATCTCAGCTGCCATCGTCATGAAAGACTGTTCAACATTTGTTGCATTCTTAGCACTGGTTTCCAAAAATGGAATTCCAAGGGAATCAGCAAATTCCTAAGGGAATAATAAAGCATGATAAACATTGTAAAATCTTTTTCAGGTAGTCTGTTTCTACCATCTGAAATAGGGATGAGGAAGGACTAGCACTGGAGCCAAACATACTACATGAATTGTCATTGTCAAAGTATTCTAGTACACATCTTTTTAGGTTAAGGTGGTTGTGGCCATCACAAGATTCCATGCCCATTCAAAATTAAGGGCCGGGGATTTACCTCAGTGGCATTGTGCCTGCCTCACAAGCGCAAGGTCCCGAGTTCAATCCCCGGTACCAAAAAAAAAAGAATCATATATAGTAAAATTAGAATTCAACACCTTCAAATTCAGTTTGGAAAAAAAAAAGCAAACTTGCAAACAACTATACCTTTGCTGTTGTGTAGTCTACTACTTTCTTTGTAGTCAAATCACATTTGTTCCCTACCAACAACTTGTTGACGTTTTCACTGGCATAACGATCTATTTCCTGCAGCCACTGTTTGACATTGTTGAAGGACTCCTAAAAGACAAGATATTTTTACAAATAATAATACTGGACACAACTGCTGTAATGATCAAGTGATACACAGAAGCACAAAAACAGCCAATGAGAAGACTGACTACAAAATGTACAACACGAGGAAAGGAGTGACTGACTGAGCTAGAACTTTAAGATGAAATGTGAAGAATGAAGATGAAAATGCTGTATTTGAAAGGAAAATGCACCTATTTTTGTTTAGGTTTGGTTTTCTGTGAAACAGGGTCTCTCTATGTAGTCTAGGCTGACCTAAAACCTTCCTATCCTCGTCCCCTTAGCCTCCCAAGTGCTGAGATTACAGGAGTACACCACCAAGCCTGGTGCACTTTTGGCAGTTCTGATAGGAAAACACTAATGACCAGACAAATTCTTGTTAATGCTTAAAACAGAACACACACACAAGAACACAGCTATGATTAGTTATTTAATTGATAAAAAGATAACCAGTCCCTTGATCAAATGTAAACCCCATTACTAAATTTTCTCTTTACTAAAGGAAAATTTTTCTTATATGATTCATAGCTGTATTTGGAGGTAGACAAGTTTTCTGGCATAAAAATATTGATGGTAGGGCCAGGGATTTAGCTTAGTGGTTTCACCGCCTGCTGCACAAGCGCAAGGACCTGAATTCAATCCCCGGTATCAAAAAAAAAAAAAAAATTGATGGTTTATATGAAAGTGAAAATCCCAGGACTCAAGAGGTTGGGGCAGAAAGGCAAGTTTGAACCTATCCTCAGTGATTCAGTAGTACCCCGCCTCAAAATAAAAAGCTCAGTGTCAATGTCTTGGGTTTGATCCCCAGTACTAGAAGGAAAGGTGAGTGGGCAGAGATTAGAAAGAATGAATCTGACATTTTTTTTTTTTTGTACTGGGGACTGAACTAGGGACCCTGCGCTTGCGAGGCAGGTAGCAGAACCCCTGAGCTAAATCCCTGGCCCTGAATCTGACATTTTGACTTCTCTTGTCACTTTAACAATCTTCTCTTGGAACTTACCTGATCTGTTACATCATACACAACTATGATGCCATGAGCTCCTCTGTAATAACTGGAGGTGATTGTTCGAAATCTTTCTTGGCCTGCTGTGTCCCACTATTGGAAAACAATCAAGAAAACCAAACAATTCATTAAACCAGAGTTGGAGCAAAGTGCTGAAAAAAATTGTTTAGTTTCATAGTTGTGGAGATTATCAAGATTTGATACAGAAATGGCCCTTAATGCTCACAATACTGAACTGCACGGTAAGTGCCAAATACCTAAAAGTCAAAAAAAGCTAATGCCTACTTAATATTTATTTGGTTGGTTTTTTTTTTTTTTTTTGGTACCAGAGTTCGAACTCGGGACCTTGCACTTGCAAGGCAGGCACCGGAACCACTGAGCTGAATCCTCCAAAATTATAAGCTCTTTTGAGAGCAGAACCATGCCATGCTTTTCACATTCCCTACCTACAGCACTTAACATCATGCTAGGCATTCAGTGTGAATGCACTAACAGATCGTCTTGATTAGGGAAGTTACTAGACTAGCCTACAGCTCCATGAACAGAGTACATTCCCACAGAACAACTCACTGGCTAGCACATCTTGGAAAGCAATGAAAGGATCTAACTTGGGTTGCAGCACTTTAACCACCTCAAATGGGTATTATCTTGATTGTAGGGAAAAGAACAAAAGGAGGATGATCCCAAACCTTTATAAAACTTACTTTAAGAACAACTTACCATACTTCAACCTTTAGGATCCAACACCCAAAACAAGTGCTTCTGTTAGTACATGTTATGATTGGGAACCAATGTCCCCCTCAAAGGCTGTGTGCTAGGCATGGTCACTGATGAGCTTTTTCAAAGTGACTGGATCACAAGGCTCTAACTTCAGTGGATTATGAGAAGGTAATCTGATGGGATTATTGAAAGGTGAAGGAAACAAGAAGTGGATAGTGGGGAAATGACCTTGGAGACTATATCTGGTTCCCAGTCCCTTCTTTTCAGGCTCTTTAAGCCACTTCATTGTTGCAGGTACAAAGTTACTTTCCTTCCAAACCATGTTTCTGCCGCACCACAAAACTAAAGCAATGGCGCCATCGACCATGGACTGAAATACCATGAGCCATAACAAATCTTTCCTCTAGGCTGTTTTTCTCAGGTATTTTGCTAACTAACTACATTAATGCTCTAAGTTTAAAAAAAAAAAAATCTAATTATTAGCAGATGTGATAGCATATGCCTGCAACCCCAGCATTGAGAGGTGAGGCAATAGGACAGCGTTCAAGGCCAACCTGAGGCTACCATCAGAGCCTATCTCTAAACAAATATATAAAAGGATTGCTAAAAATACTAAGAATCAAACTCACTTTTTAGATTGAAAAATGTGTTGATTTTAACAACGACAATGAGAATTTTGTTTAAATTCCTGCTAAACAATGGTATCTTCTTAAAAGAACATTAATTAGAATAGTTACTGCCCCATTAAAAGATACTAAGGGTGGGAATGTAGCTCATTGGTACAGTGCTTGCCTAGTATAACGCAAGGCCCTGGATTCAATCCTCAGTACCACAAAAACAAGAAGCAGTGCCGGGGATTTAGCTCAGTGGTTTCACCCCCTGCTGCACAAGCGCAAGGACTCAAGCTCGATCCCAGGTACCAAAAAAAAAAAAAAAGAAAAGGAAAAAAGAGTATGTCCTCAATGTGTGTCCATTTAGCTATAAATGTCTCGGAGACTGAGTCTAAGGCCAGCTTAGGCTACACAGTGAGCTCAAGTCCAGCCTGAACTACACAGTAAGACTCTATCTCAAAATAAAACAAAAAGCCAGACATGGTGGTGCACACTTGTAATCCTAGCACTCTGGGACGCTGAGGCAGGAGAATGACTGTGAATTCAACAGCAGCCTGGACTACATAGTAAGTTCAAGGCCAGCCTAAACTACATAGCTAGAACCTGTCTCAAAAAACCAAAACCAAACCAACAAACAAAAAAAACCACAAAAAGGTAAAACAAAAAAGGGTTCAAGGTATACCTCAGTGCTCCCTGGATTCAATCCCCACTATAAAAAAAAAAAAGGCATAGATGCGCTCTGTTTATAAAAGTCATAACATTTGTAAAGTAGCATACTCTACTCCAGAGGGAAAAAAGATATAATGAAGCAAATAATCTAAAAGATTGACAATCACCTAAAAAATAAAAATGTAAGTCACCACAGGCATCGTTTCTTTTTTTCTGTGTAAATTACTGAGCTTGAGGCTGAACCTGAGAGCTTAGAGGACTTTTAGATCTACTGTTATCACTGAGGAACCTTAGTCTTTCATGATATCCTAGAAGCAAGTCCTCTGGACACAAGCCAACCTAACTTCAAAAGGTCAGAGATTTCATTCTTCCTGCTTATTTAACACCAGGGAATTGCCTACCAGTGTCTTCAGCTGAAAAATCATACACAACTTACTTTATACAACTATTCGGGAGGTTTAAATTAATGTTTGTGAAATACCTAGCAGTGCCTGACTATGAAAGCTGCTCAATAAAATGTTAATTTCCTTCCCTGACCAAGAACTTTCATTTCAAAAACAGCATAAGAAAAAATTCTTTCTTTTGTGACTAAAAGTTAACATTTAGGGGCTGGAGATTTAGCTCAGTGACACTGCACCTGCCTCACAAGCTCAAGGTCCTGAGTTTGGTCCCTGCTACCACACACACAAAAAAGTAAGGGCCGGGGATTTAGCTCAGTGGTTTCACTGCCTGGTGCACAAGTGCAGGGACCTGAGTTTGATCCCCAGTACCAAAAAAAAAAAAAGTTAACATTTAGCTAACTAAAGCTAAGAAACACCTTCTAAAGAGTAAAATTTCTCACATTCCTTTGGCACTCTTGAAAACTTTCCTGACTTAATATCCCAGCAATAGTATTAGTACTCTCCCTCGTAACTGGGTCATCCTTTATTTATAATCTCAATTCTATCTGTGTCCCTGGTGTAATGTAGGCATTTCTATAAATGTTTCGTGAAGAAAGAACAATCACAGAAAGGGGCCTTTCATTGTATACCACTGGACTCTGAATCTGCCCTACCTTCTTGAGTGTTTCATAATCACTAACTGTGATAAACATTCAAATATCACAATTGAACAGAAAACTGAAAGGAAAACATAATTAAAATACAAATCTACAAAATCAAAACTGTGAAGGACCTAGAATACTTAGAGGGCAACTGAAGCCACGAAGATGACATGTGATAGGGTTACAGGTAAAATTTCCATTTAGATTTCTAAAACACCAATCACTGAAATGTAAGATAAGACCTCTATTTTTTTAAATTAAAAACAACTAAATCAGGCCAGGGATTTAGCTCAGTGGTTTTGCCTCCTGCCCTGCAAGCGCAAGGCCCTGAGTTTGATCCCCGGTACCCCCCCAAAAAAAAACCAAATCAAAATCAGAAGACCCAGACTACTACATAATATGGTTACTAGGTAACATGGCTATTGAGACAGCAAATGTAAACTCAAGTTTTAATATCCTCTGGTGGGTTAATGATTGAGAAGAGGCATTGAGCCCCTGGAGCTGAGATAATTTTTGGTTTTGTATTTTTGAGACAGGGTCTCTCACTGTGTAGTTTAAGTTGGCCTTGAACTCACTATGTAGTTGAAACTGGCCTTGCACTCCCAGCAATCCTCCTGCCTCAGCCTCCCCAAGTGCTGGGAATACAGGTATGTGCCACCACATCTGGCTCAATTTTAAAAAGAAAATAATTTAGAGGTAAAATTGAGAGGATTTACCTCGTTTTTGTTGTTATTGTTTTTTGAATCAGGGTCTTGCTAGACAGCTCAAGATGGCCTTGAACTCACTATTTAACCCAGGTTGGCCTCAAACTCATGCTAATCTTCCTGACTCAGCCTCCCCAGCGCTGGGATAACAGGTGTGCACCACCTCGCCCACTCAACCCCATGTACTGTATATCATATTTGATTTTAGAAATCACATTTTAACAAAATGTACTTATAAAATGCAACAGAGTAACCCAAATTGCAAAAGTTTTCCAAAAACATCCTTCAGGAGACCAAGCTCAGATGCAGAAGAAAGGTAATGAGAGCAGGTAGTCCGTAGAAGAGGAATTTATCTGACTTTAGCTCAGTATGAAGAATAAAATACCTAGAAGCCAGGCATGGTGGCGCATGGGTTTCTCATATAATGTCATATACATATACAGAACTATTTATTACATTTGATTCTCATAACTATCATATAAATTAGTAAATCAGGTGTCATCACACTTTACAGGGAAACTGTGTCCTCGGGGAAAAGGTTAGTATGTGTAAGTTAAATTCATAATTCTACCTTTTTTTTCATAATTCTCTTCACAAGTAAACACCAGAACTAAATCTAAGTCACTGACTCCAAATTCAAGACTCCTCCCAGTTCAGTGTGGTGTCAGCTCCACAAAAAGAGCAGTTACTGGTTTCCTATGTTATCGCCTACTTATAGCCCACTCTAAAACCTACTGAGAGGCAGGCACAATGGCACGCACCTGTAACGCCAGCTACTCAAGAGGATAAGGAGGGGAGGGCTGCAGTTTGAGGCCATCCTGGCAATATAATGAAAACCCATCTCAATCTCAGTAATTGCTGTTTTTCTTTTTTTCTTTGAGAAGCACTATCAACTACACCGACTGCTTGGGCTGGCACTGAACTCAATCCTCTCACCTCTGTTTTTTTTTTTTTCTTTTGGTTTGGGGGGATGGGTTAAGACAAGTTCTTGCTATGTAGTTTAGGCTGGCCTTGTTACTAGCCCAGGCTGCTCTTGAACTCATCACAATCCTCCTGCCTCAGCCTCCTAGGTGCTAGGATTACAGAAGTATACTACCATGTCTTACTTTTTTTTACTTTATTTTTGAGACAGTCTTCCTAAGTTGCCCAGGTTGGGCTCACACTTAGCATTTTCCTGCCTTAGTCTTCTATACAGCTGGGATTATAGGTATGTGCCATCGTGCCCAGTTGAGATTTTTAAAAAAACAAAAAAACCCCACAAATATGACCACACCTGGCAGAACTCATAGTCATATTAATAGTCATATTAAAGAGATACAACTAAACTATTACAACTTACAATTGCCTATATTTAATTAGGGGTTGGAGATATAAGGATGGATAAAGAGGTAGGATAGCACAGGGACACAACATACTAAAGACAGAGAGCTATGGGTCACTTGGTTTTGCCAGTAACTTTAGCCAAATCACTAAATTTCTGAGTGAAATGACTATGTTGAAAAAAAAAAAGGTAAGTCCTCCCCAGAAAATTCTGTCTTTAAAGATTTCGGAAGTAGTATCTAAAAAAACTGTTTAAAAGACCTGAAAAAAATGTGTATTCTTCAAGTAAGGCACATAGGAAGAGCCTCTCTTCAGTTACTTCTAATGCTCCACAGCAATCAGCACATTAAAAGACAGAAAATGCTCAATAACCCTTTAAGGCAAACTTGAACTCAGAGAACTACTGATTTTTAAAAAAGAATAGGACCAAGTTTGACTTAATACATGACTATGTCTGCTTTAAGAAGAAATTTCGATGAGATACAGTTCAGAGATAAAGTGCAAGCTTAACATGAGAGGTCCTGGGTTCAACATCCAGCACAGTCCAATTAATAGGGAGAGACGAAGAGAACGAAAAAACGGAGGAAAGAAAAATTTTCAGCAAGAAAAGTAATCCTAGGAAATTACTTTTAGTCTAAACAGTTAATTCTTTTTTGGGGGGGTGGGAACCGGGGATCGAACTCAGGACCTTGCGCTTGCGAGGCAGGCAGCGGCACCACTGAGCTAAATCCCCAGCACCCTCTAAACAGTTATTCTATGTTCCATCATAGATGCCTGATTCTTCTGTTTTGCTTTGTTTTTGAGACAAGGTTTCACTATGTAGTTTTCAGGCTGTCCTTGAACTCACTTAATGTAGCCAGGCTGGCCCCGAAGTTGTGACCCTCCTGCCTCAGTCTCCCAAGTGTTGGGATTACAGGCATACATCACACCTGGCAGATGCCTGATTTTTAAGAACCTTTATATTCAATTTTTGTTAGCATTTTACATACATACAAATAATACATTCTAAGTTTATCAAAAAAATTTCCACCAAAATCCACTTACGATTTGTAGCTTGATTGTTTTCCCATCTAACTCTATAGTTCTTATTTTGAAATCCACACCAATGGTGCTGATGTAGCTTTCTGTATATGTATCATCCTGAAGAAAAAAAGTTGAAAATAAAAATCAATGTTCAATTGAGTAACATTTACTTTTTCTTTTTTCTTTTTTTTTTTTTTGGTACCAGAGATAGAACTCGGGACCTTGTATTTGCAAGGCAGGCAGCAGAACCACTGAGCTAAACCCCCAGCCCAGTGTAACATTTACTTTTATCTACAATTTATAAGACAAATTTTTATATAAAGTACAGCATGTTGATAGCCATTTAATCCTATTCTAGTACTCAATTCATATTCTGATTACAAAGCACTAACAGTTTCTTTTTTCATTAAGATCTGTTCTAATATTTTTTTAAAATTTCTTTTCAGATAGCAACTTATTAGTCCAGCCTAACCTTGAATCTATGTAGCCTGGCTTGTCTACAAGTCTTGAACCTTTTGCCTCAACTACACCAAGTGTGGGGATTATAGGAGTGCTCTACCACGCCTAGTTTCTTGGCACATTCTTTTACATACATCATATAGAAAAAAAAGGTTTTAATTTCAGTGATTACAATGATTTCCTTTTGAGATGGAATCTCTATTGCCCAAATTGCTCCTGATTTCCTGGGTTCAAGTGACCTTCTCATCACTGCCCTGAGTTACTGGGACATTAATGATATTTTTTTTTTTGTACCAGGGATCGAACTTGGGACCTTGCACTTGCAAGGCAGGCGCTGGAACCACTGAGCTAAATCCCCAGCATTAATGATATTTTTTAATGCTAAGCAGTAAACTTACTACTAGCCACCCATCCAATTTATTCATCACAAAACAATGGCCATTATACTCTCTTCTTATGAACATTTTTTTAAAAAGTCAAGTGTATTTCCTAGTTGCTGGTTTTTAAATTCAGATATAATGCACATAACATTCACCCTTCTAGGGGCTGGGGATTTAGCTCAGTGGTTCCGCTGCCTGCCTCAATAGGGCAAGGTTCCCCAGTATGAAAAAAGAAGAGATTCACCCTTCTAGCTGACATATGGCCATGAACCCAGAATTCTGCAAGGCTAATGCATATTAAAGTCAAGCCTGGGTGACTTAGCAAGACCTTGTCTCAAAATTAAGGGCTTGCCAGGGATTTAGCTCAGTGGTACCCTGCCTGCCTTGAAAATGCAAGGTCCTGATTTTTTTTTTTTTTTTTTTTGGTACCTGGGATCAAACTTGGGTCCTTGCACTTGCGCAGCAGGAGGCGGTGAAACCACTGAGCTAAATCCCCTGACCTTTTTTTTTTTTTTTTTTTTCCGCGCAAGGTCCTGTTTTTGATCCCCAGTACTGGGATAAAAAACAAAGGGCTGGAGATTTAGCTTAGTATAAAGGCTTTGGGTTCAATCTCAATCTTCAGTACTGAAAATAAAATCCACCATTCTATGCACTTTTTTTCCTTGGTACTTGGGAATGAACCCATGCCCTCACACATGCTAGATTCACCATTCTGAGGTAAACAACTCAGTGGGATTTTAGTATATGCACAAGGTTGTGCAACTACTGTAACTATTCCGTAACATTACATGAAAAAGGAACCTTATATAGTGGCACCTTGGTTCATGAACTTAATTTGTTCTACGATTTTGGATAAGATGGCCATTGTGTTTGTGTAGGAAAGATGGCCACAGTCACATTCCCCGCCCAATGCAGAGCTTGCAAACAAAAAATTTTGCCAAACGCCTTCTGCTTGTGAACCAAATTGTTTGCAAACAAAAGCATTCGTGAACCAAGGTACCACTGTACTCTAAGTCAGCACCCCTTCTCCATTTCCCTTTCTCATTCAGACCCTGGTAATCACTAATCTACTTTTTTTTTTTTGAGACATAGTTTCGCTGTCTAGTTCAGGCTGACCTTGAACTCACTTTGTAGCCCAGGCTGGCCTATAACTCAAAGCAATCCTCCTGCCTCAACCTCCCAAGTACTGGGATTACAGGCATGCTCCACCATGCTGGGCTATTAATCTATCTGTCTATGGATATCTTGCCTATTACCAAGATATCATATAAATGAAATCACACAGTATGTGGCCTTTTGTGTCTGGCTTTCACTTAGCATGTTTTCAAAGTTCATCTACACTGTAACATGTATCATTACTCAAATCCTTTTTATGACTCAATAATAATCCTTTGGAAGGGCTGTGGATGTAGCTCAATGGAGCCACCCCTCCCTGGCAAACGCAAGGTCCTGAGTTCGATTCCCATACCCCCCCCCCAAATAATAATAATCCATTGTATAGATATATACTTTTTTTGTTGTTACTGGTTTTGGGGGGTTTTTTGGGGGTTTTTTTTGGTACTGGGGATTGAATTCGGGACCTTGTGCTTTCGAGGCAGGCAGCGGAACCACTGAGCTAAATCCCCCGGCCCTGTTGTAACTATTTTTTGAGACAGGGTCACACTATGTAATTCAGACTGGCCTTGAACTCACTATGTAGCCTAGAGGCTGACCTCAAACTCAAAATGATCCTCCTGCCTCAGCAATATAAGTGCTGGGATTACAGGAATGTGCCGCCACATCTGGCCCATATACATTTTTTTAAACTATTCACCAACTGACAGACACTTGGGTTGCATCAGCTTTTAGGTTATTATGGATAATGCTTCTGTAAAAATACGTGTACAAGTTCTGATGTGAGCATGTTTCTTGTCAATTTTTTAACCGAATGTTGAACTTTTAACACATTCCCACCAGCTTGAACCACCAGTGGTACATGCATGAATGTCCCATCAGGCTGATGTACAACCCGGTGGGACTGTCCCATGCCACCCAAGGGAGCAGTCATGCATTTATCACCATAGTTCAGAGGTGCCCATCAGTGAGACATGAATTACAGCCCTGTCAAGAACATGTTAAAATTCTACAATTCTACCTTTTCTCAAATATTCTTCATAACCTTTAATTCAAAGAGGAAACAAAACTCTTCTGGTTTTGTTGTTGGGGGTGGGGGTGGTACCAGGGATTGAACTCGGGACCTTGTTCTGTTTTTGAGACTGGGTCTCACTTTGTAGTTCAGATTGGCCCTTGAACGCACAGTAATCCTCCTGCCTCAGCCTCCTGAAGTGCTAGGATTACAAGCATGTGCCACCATGTCTGGCCAAAACTGTTTTCATAAAGTGAAAATCTTGTGCAAAATATAGGAGTGGAGAGACCAGGCTGCCATCACCTGAACCCCAAAGTATCAGCTAGGAAGTATTCTGCCAACAAAAACAGACCTAACCCGGCAGAAGGAACCGCGCAGAGCAGGGACCGCGGCCGAGCAGGTGGGCTCGTCCCAGTCGGTGCTAGCCTGGCTCCCCACCGGCCTGGAGAAGGCTGCGGTGCGGCCCGGGGAAGACGGGAGCCGAGGCCGCGGCACCCCCACAAGCCCCCAGCCCGCTGCCGGAGCCCACCTCTGCTGAGACAAAGGTGACCAAGTATTGAGCAAACACTAGGAAAACAGAGGACACAAGCCTGGATGTGAAATAGCATCTTCTGCATGGAATATCAAAGATATGCTATATTACACAAGCTAGTGGGGCGAGTCATTGGGCCCTTCCTTGCTTGGAACAGTGTACACTAGTCTGTGCAGCTGGAACCGAGAAAAAAAATTATTCAATTCTAAAATTTTCAGAGAAATAATCTCAGTCAATTTGCCTCTTTATCTTCTCCCTTTCTACTTAAAAGTGGAGCTTTATGACCCTCCTTTTCGTCTTGGGGAATGAAGGCTGGAAAGAGGCTCTGCATTGAAAGGGCGGCCATATTTGTGCTTTTTCCCATGTGCCGAGGTAAGCAACGTATTGATCCTTGTGGAATTTTACAAAATGGCATCCCTGAACTGACTTCTTTAGAAGCCAGGGAACTTCCCAGGCTCTTTGTGTGTCCAAGGGCTTGGCTGTTTCCATCAGTGTTGACATTGGAGGGTCCCATAATATCTTTAAACACTTTACCAAAGTGTTTAAAGGCGAGAGAGAGAGAGAGAGAGAGAGAGAGAGAGAGAGAGAGAGACTGACTGAGAATATAAGCTTGTTGCCACAATACTTGTATGTGTACAGATCTGAGCCAATTAGGAAGGCATCTTGTGTGTCCCTTACTGTAGTTTATCAGGTGGAGATACCATGATGGGGATGGGGATGTCCAGCCACTGTAAGAGGTGGTTGAATATGTTTGAGATATGTAACACTTCCAAATCTTAAAACGCAAATCTATGCTTTTTCCAAACTACTAAAGGAAATATATATCTACATTCTACAACCAAAAAAAACCAGACCTAACCCTAATCAAAATAGCCCCATGTGCCTTATAAAATGAACCAAAACTTAATAAAAATAAATGGCCACATAGAGCCAAACAGCCACTATATGGGCACCAGAGTTCCAGGGTGTACTTACAATTACAATAAAATAGACAAAAGATAAATTGAAAGAGACACAAAAAAGCAAAAATGACAACTCTTAAGACTACTGGATGATATACAGAAGAATTGCCTCAGTTTGTAGTCAACATGAAAAAGAAAGAGTAAAGTGTAAAAACTAAAAAAAACCTAATAAGCAAGCAGAGTGTGATGTGCACACCTGTAATCCCAGCTACCTGCAAAGCTGAAGCATGAAGATCACAAGTTTGAGGGCAGCCTGAACAATGTAGTAGCTCTTTTAAAAAGAGATGGAGAGGGCCAGGGATTTAGCTCAGTGGTTCCGGCGCCTGCCTCACAAGTACAAGATCTTGATTTCAATCCCCAGTACCAAAAAAACAAAAACTCATGTAGGCAAGTCTTCATAATGCTAAATCTAACTTATACATAAGATTAAAATTTAACAGTATCTCTAAAGAAAACTGTAAAATGTGATTCAAGAGTTTCAAGTGGCTAGAGATAGCCAGGCATGGTTGTGCATGTCTATAACCCCAGCATTCCTGGAGGCTGAGGCAGGAAGATCACAAGTTCAAGACCAGTCTAGGCAACAAAGTAAGACACTGTCTTCTCAAAAACAAAAAAGATATTACATGAAAAAAAGAAACCACCTAGTTCAGCTTCCAATTCAAACCATTCAAGTAGTTTTCTGAGACAACCAACACACTCCAGTATTTAGTACATGTGCTTTATGAATACATACTGTGTTATGCATTTCTTCCCACAAAATATTTTTAAATATTCAAGGATCAAGTTTTGGTTGTTTTTTTTTTGTACTGGGGTTCGAACTTGGGACCTTGCGCTTGGCGAGGCAGGCGCCAGAACCACTGAGCTAAATCCCCGGCCCCAAGGATCAAGTTTTTTAATTAAAAATTTTCTCTGTTTGTCAAGGATATTGTTTCTTTGCAGTAATAGGGATTAAACCCAAGCTTTCACACTGAGCTATTCACAGTCCCTTCCAGGCAGTCTTACTAAGTTGCTAAATTGTATAGGCTGGGCTCAACCTTGTGATCCTCCTGCCTCAGACACCCAGAATGCTAGGATTATAGACATGTGCCACCATGACTGGCTGAAATAGCTTTTTGGTCCATCTGAGTGCATGAGTTCTAATGTAATAACTACGAGTACACTCTGGGAGGCTGAGGAAAGAGAATCTAACACTGCCTTAACATGTACTAAGGCACTAGCAGCATTGCTTTTGAACCACCAGAGCAAATAACAGTGAAAAGGACAGATGTTTTTTGTCTTAGTTTTATTCCTAATTAAATATTTATTTTGGGACTAGGGTTAAGTGCCAGTAAATGCCCAGCTTGGGTGACGCCCTGGACTCGATCCATAGTATTTACTTTTAAACAGTAATATATTAATATGATGATGATATAAGACTTCTGACCTAAGAGAGTCCCTGAGAGGGTCTTGGCAACCTCCCCTGAGTCTTTGGTCCATGTTCTGAGAATCTAGAACAAATGGAAATATGCTAAATTTGAAGGCAGGTAATAAAGACTATGAAGGAAACTGGATTCTATTATGCCAAAAGTCATTTATCTTTGTCAGTTTCTATATACACAACACTGGGGCTAGGGATTTAGCTCAGTGGTTCCACTGCCTGCCTCGAAAGCACAAGGTCCCAAGTTTCATTCCTGTACCAAAAAAAACTATCCTCAAGATTTCTTTACTGGCATAAACAGTGCTTTTTTGTTGTTGTTTTGTTTTGTTTTTAGTTAACGTGTTTATGCCAAAGACTGAAATTTTTTGTTTTTCCATGAAATTCATGTTACCTAGAAAATTCAAGGAATAAGAATTTGAAGAGAATACATTTCATTATGTTCCACTGTCATGGGCATTGAAGTGTAAAGTGCAACAGGTTAAACTTTTCTTTCTTTTTAGAGGGAGATTTGAGACAGGGTCTCACTCTGCAATTCAGGCTAGCCTGGAACTCACAGCAATCCTCCTGCCTCAGGCTTCTGAGTGCTGAAATTACATGCATGTGAGTGCTGAACTTAAACTGTTTTTAAACAAACTATAGAATTCTTCCCTTCATGCATTCTCAGCAGAGCCACTGCATCAATGAAAGTTCAAGACCCTTCCATACTTAAACACAATTTGCAACATTCTGTTCATTTTTTTGTTTAGAATGCTAAAATGTTTTTGAAATTAAGTAAACAGCACTACATTTTAAAAGCATTTAAAATGTCACTCTCAACAAAGGTCAACTATTACCCCCTTAGCTCACTGCCTTTAATCAGAATGAACCACTAAAATATTAGGCACTCTAATAATCAGACTTTGCTAAATTTTTATTTTCCTTTGGTTTTTTGAGAGACAGGATCTCACTATGTAGTTCAGGCTGGCCTTGAACTCACTATGGAATTACAGGCATGCACCACCAAGCCCAGCTGAATGTCTTTTAAGAGTAACATTTAGGGCCGGAGATTTAGCTCAGTGGCACTGCGCCTGCCTCACAAGCACAAGGTCCTGAATTCAATCCCTGGTACCAAAAAAAAAAAAAGTAACATTTAATAGTCCATCCAAGTATGGTGGCACACACCTGTGACCCCAGCACTTGGGAAGGTGAGACAGGAGGATCAATCAGCATGAGTTCAAGGCTAGCCTGAACTGCATAGCGAGACCCTGTTTCAAAACACACACACACACACACACACACACACACACACTCACTCTTAACATCTAAGATACTACTGCCTATATATATTTTTTTCTGGGAATATATAGCGGGAGGCTTTATATATATTTGGAAGTAATTTATTCTGAATAAAAGTGTTTATTTTGTCTACCTAGAAAACACAAAGCATTACAACATTAATTGTATCACTAACCATGCCATTAATTTTTAAAGCATTTCAATTTCAACTTACTGCAAACCTAAGAAGGAGGCAAGATTTTCCAACCCCAGAGTCTCCAATCAGAAGTAACTTGAATAAATAATCACTGCAAAAAGAAAACAAAAAAAAAATCACATTAATAAAATGTACACTACATTCTAAATTCTACAACAAAAACATGGCTAAGAATAACAGCCTACTGCAAAGACTACAAATCCTGACAAGCCCATGCATCATTTACCAGATGTCAAACTAAACCCACAGCACCCCTTTGATGAATCACTGAACTTGACAGAATTTAAAGACAGCCAATACCAACCACGATCTCTAAGATGAGTGAACTTCCAAGGAAAAATGAAAGAAAAATAAAGTGATATGCATTCTTAGAGACCCCAGACCTATGCTAAAAAGGAAAAAAAAAAAAAATTTCTCACTCCTCTATAAAAAATAAACTTTCCAGGCTGGGGATTTAGTTCAGTGGTTCCGCTGCCTGCCTCACAAGCACAAGGTCCTAAATTCAATCCCTGGTACCAAGAAAAAAAAAAATCTTTCCATTGTTCTAGCCAACAAATTCAGTCTCTCCTTCAAATCTGAAGACCAATTTTTTTTTTGAATCAGAGTCTTACCAAGTAATTCAGGCTGGCCTTAAACTCAACTACGGAGCCCAGGCTAGCCTCATAGCTTCAAACTCGCAGCAATCCTTCTGCCTCAGTCTCTGGATTATGGGCGTGTTGCACCACACTTTGCTAAATCATTATTTCATAGTAATCCTCTAAAGAAGGGTCTTTTATGAGCCTTCCCTAGTATCCAGATAGAATTTCCCCTTCAAAAACATATCATTTTGCTAAGTCCAAGGGTGCACACATGTAATCCCAGTTAAAGGGGAGGCTGAGGCAGGAGGTCTGCAGGTTGACAGCCAGCCTGGGAAACTTACAGAGAGCCTTTTTCAAAATAAAATAAGATGGGATACAGATGTCACACAGTTATAAGAGTAACTTAGGTTCAATCCCAAGCACAGGAGTGGGGAATGTCACTTAACTTCTGAAGCCTGTATTACAAATAATTCACACTGGAAATATGATGAAATCATAAGTTATTTATAAAAGCACTGAACTTCACCAGCATTCTAAGCTTGTAGTAAAGTACTTCAGAAATACTGAGATCTAGACTCTGATTACATACATCTATCATTGCCAAGCCTAATTCAAAAACAATCCTAGAGCTAGGGACACAACTTAGTGGAAGACCCCTTAACTGGCATGCTCAAGGCAGAGTTTGATCCTCTGATCCTCAGCACTGTAAAAAAAAAAATTTTTTTAAATCCCCAGGGATTTCCTTCACAGACCTGAACACAACAGATTGCCCACGATTTCCAGAGGAATCCCTCCTAGATCCTTCCTTATAATGACCAATTTCCAAACGTTCTTTTAAGCAATTTCAAAGGACTTAAAAAAAAAAAAATCAAATTACATGTTGTTGTTGTGGGGTTTTTGTCTGATTGCTTGCTTTTGTTATTTTGAGACAGTCTTTATTTAGCTCAGGCTGGCTTTGAACTCTCTATGCAGTCTAGAATGGCCTCATACTCACCATCCTCCTGCCTCAGCCACCCAAGGTCTGGGTTTACAACCTGTGCAACCACATTCAAATAATTCACATTATCTTTTTTTATAGTAGCAAAGTTTTATTTTGGAAAAATAAAAGGCAAGAAAAGAAATAGGCTCTGCACAGTGAGTTTGAGCCAAATAAAAGTAGGAAAAGAAGTACACCCTACAGCAGTGGTGGCAAACCTATGGCACAAGTGCTGCAGTGGGCACAGAACCCTCTCTGTCACCACACGAGCCAAGAGTATGAGCTGCTTTTTCTAAACTAAAACCTCAGTATTCAAGTTTAATTGCAGTATTGAAACATTTTCAATAAGTAAGTGGGTTTGGGGTTGCAGTTTGGGTACTTGGCCTCTAAAAGGTTTCCCATCACTCCCCTACAGCATGAATGTGGACCACCATGCAAGACTGAACACAGTGGCCTCACACTATCTTTAAAGGGGATTTTTTTTTTTCTCTGTGGTACTAGGGATTGAACCCAAGGCTTTCACACTATCCAGCATTTGTAATTTTTTTTTTTTTTTGAGACAAGGTCTCCTTACGTTGTCCTGCTGAGAAGGTATATATGATTTTCAATTCTAATTTCCTTCTTTGTGGTTTAGTTTCAAAAAATGCTATCTAGCTATCATGGCTTTACTCAGGATAACCCGCCCTGCATCCTCCAGGGCTTTTTCCTTTCCTTGGTTTTTCTTGCTTTTCCTTGCTGTTTCCTTTCACTTGGCCCAAGCTGGCTCTGCAGAACCAGTTTCACTCTCACTCTTCTTTTTCTTTTTTTTTTTTTTGGTACCGGGGATCTAACTAAGGACCTTGCACTTTCAAGGCAGATGGCAGAATCACTGAGCTAAATCCCCAGCCCCTTCACCCTCACTCCTTTTACTTTTTCAAATAAACTTTGTCACTGTTTTTAAAAAATGCTGTCTACTTAAAGGTGAAACATAAAATGTTTCTCAATTAATTTAAATTTAGATTACAATAGCATTATTTACATTTAAGGAAGAGGTAAAACTTTTAGCAGCCAGGAATGGTGGCACATGGCTAATCTTGGCTCTCTGGCTCTGGGAGAGGATAGTAGGTGGGAGGAGCTCAAATTTAAGCACAGCTGGGCCTGGGCGTGGTAGCACACACCTGTAATTCTAGCACTCAGGAGGCTGAGGCAGGAGGATTGCCATGAGTTTAAGGCCAGCCTGGGCTACATTGGAAGTTCATGACCAGCCTGAACTACAAAATGAGACCCTGTCTCAAAAGAAAAGTACAACTGGGCAACTTAGTGATTTTAGCAAGACTGTCTCAAAACAGAAAAAAAAAATGCTGGCTGTGGTGGCTCAGGCCTATAATCCCTACACTCTGGAGGCTGAGACACAAGGATTACAAATTCAAACCCAGCTTGGGCAATCTAGCAATTTAGCAAAACCCTGTTTCAAAATAAAAAATAAAAAAGGGCTGGGGATGTAACCCAATGCAAAGGACCTTGGTTGAATCTCCACTACCACCAAAAAAAAAAAAAAAGTAACCACTACCCTAAATTATCCTATTATATCTTATACTCTATTTGAAATTCAGAACTTCCTCTAGCTTTTTTCTCATTTCTGATTTACAGTGACAATTCATACTTTCTATACCTGAGAAAACTACTATTTTTTTTTTTTGGTACCAGGGATCGTAACTCGGAACCTCGCGCTTGTGAGGCAGGCGCCAGAACCACTGAGCTAAATCCCCAGCTGAGAAAACTACTACTGAACTACATCCCCGACCTCAAAAAAAAAAAAAAAAAAATCTTCCTTATAAGTTTCCCATAATACATAATGGCTTTCCCATAAACCTTACAGGTTTTTCCATATCTTGTTTTTAAGTTTCACCCACTAATTGTAGCATTCATTAGATCCTTTCCTACAACTATTATTAATGTGGTAATCTTACTTCTATTATTTCTTATATATGTATTATGGGAAACTTGTAAGATTTTGGTTTTTGTCTTTTGAGACATGGTCTTAAGAATTACTGTAGTAGGGCCGGGGATTTAGCTCAGTGGTTCCACTGCTTGCCTCGCAAGCGGAAGGACCCGAGTTCGATCCCGGTACCAAAAAAGAAAAGAATTACTGTAGTAGGTGGGCGTAGTGGTGCACATCTATAGTCCCAGCACTCAGGAGGCTGAGCCAGGAGAACTGCCGTGAATTCTAAACTAGCCTGGGCTACATAGTGAGACTCCGCCTCAAAAATACACACAAAAAAGGGTCAAGGATTTAGCTCTGTGGTCCTGGCCCCCAAGCGCAGGCAAGGTTCTGAGTTTGATCCCCAGTACCAAAAAAAAGAAATCCTGCCTCAAAATTTTAAAGGGAGGAGGGAACAGCTGGGAAGTAACTCAGTATAAAGGCCCTGGATTTAATCCCCAGTACAAGAAAAAAAATTTTTTTCCCTGTTTCATTTTTAAAGCTCTTTAATTTGAGGTGGAGATTGCATAAAATGCCCTACGAAAACACCCTAAGCCAAGTATATGGCGCACAGAATAATAGTAAGCACTTGTTAAGACAGTAGCTATTAGTAAAAGCGTTTCCCCTTGTGAGCAGGCAAACACATGCATATGTAATGCTAGTAGTCAGAACTAAGCAGAACAGCCAAGTGTGGGGGTGCACATCTATGGTCCCAGCACTAGGGAGGCTGAGGCAGGAGGATCACCTCAAGTTCAAGGCCAGCCTGGGCTACATAGTGAGTTCAGGGCCAGCCTGAACTACAAAAGGAGACCCTGCCTCAAAAAACAAACAAACAAACAAAGAACTGAACAGAACAGAGTAAATTTAACTGGAGCCTTGGATTTAATAAAACAGGATGTACTGCCCCACTAAGCAAACACCAGCCAAATGAATCAACTGGAAACAAAAGTACCAAGAAAAACTATTTACTTCCTCTGTAAGCTGTTTCTCCTAACTCAGCTAACATTTAACGTTCTTTGGCTCCTTGGGGCCAGGATTTTTTTCTTTTTTTCCCTTTTCTAAATATCCTTTCATCACTGTCCTTTTATAATTTTTTTTTTTGTACTGGGGATCGAACTTGGGACCTTAGGCTTGCAAGGCAGGTGGTGGAACCACTGAGCTGAATCCCAAACCCTGTCCTCTTATAATTTGAAACACTTATAAGGGTGGTTCCACAGAAAATCCAAGACCTAGGTTTTTTTCCCTAAATTCTATTCCAGACATCAAAGCATCAATCTCAGTCACACCTACTACAGGAAAACAGAGGAAAAGTCTGACTGCTCCCCTATCCCTCTAAAGGGGAAATAAATCTGGGCATTCTGCCCAAATCTCTTACTAAAACTCCAAAGTATGGTTCAGACAAAGAATGGTAAAAAGCTGATAAGCTACAAATCTAAAGTACCACAGGCACTGGCATCATACACCCATTTTTAGTTTTTCTTTATCAAACACAATGTTGATTCTTTAACAAAAACTCAAAACACTGGGGGGGGGGCAGGGATTTAGCTCAGTGGCGCGGTACCTGCCTTGCAAGCACA